TAACTTCACGTTCCTCAGAATAGAGCTGCCAATAACCAGAGTTTTATCCTCAGCGGGGGAATGATATGTGAGACCAAGCGGCAACCTCCAAGGCTGAAAAATGAAGCTAACGTGGAAGTGGCAGTTCCTCAAATGGCCACTTGAGGCTGGCTCCAGAGGCCAGTTAAATCCCATTGCGCCCCAATGTTAAATTGCCCAACTTTACAGCAGAAATAAACATGTTTACAACCTGGTACATGAAATGGTTTTGGTCTCTATTGCTCTATTTTAACATTCATGACAACTGTACGGGGGATGAAATTTTATACTGTATAACTCACCTGTTTACACTTTAATTAAGGAGCTGCTGCTTTGAGTGACAGACTGTCTGCTGGAAGTGTCCTCAGCTTCTCAGTCAGATCCACCCCTCGCTCCTTCACAGTGCCAGCCTCTCACCCAAACATGGTCACCTCTGGCTTCAAAAAACCAAGACGGCAATGGCCAAAATTGAACTCAGGCTTTAAAATGGGAGTCAACAAATCTATGGCTGATATCATGGTAGCTACGTCCATTATTTTTACAGTCTATGAAACTGACTGTAAGGGGCTGAAAGGGGGTAAAGGTGTGGATGAAGACATGTTGTACAGACCTTGCTGTATTCTCCATTTTATGCAAAGTATCTTTAAAGAATAATGGCAGATTACTGTCCATGTTGTTGCGCTTAACTACAATAATCATTCTCTTCAGTATGTAGATGGGAATGTTTCTGACTTGGACCTCTTAGTGTGACAAAACAAAACAAAACAAAACAAAACAAAAAAAAAAGCGAAAGTGAGGAGTGTGAGGTAAATATTGTGTTTAATAAACAAACATCAGTCAGGGAACTGACATTAGTCTGGGGATGGAAAGGGGGGGGAATATAAAGCACAATGCACATGTGTAGAGGTGGGGGGACGTATTTATCTGTTACACAAGGTGCCCCCGTACAGTAGGAGCAGGAAGTTCTATATAACATACAGATCAGGATCCAAGTCTACGGTACAAAAACTTAGCAGCAACATGTTAACATCGGAGACCAAGGGGCTAACAAAGTAGTTTCATTTAGAAAAAGTCACAGTATTCTTTAAGCATAAATTTGTTAAAAAGGTAAAAACAGTTCTAAGCATCCTCTAGGGTCAATGCTACTCACAAGATCTGTGTGTGAAATACATAGGTAGGGAAATTATCTATACATTTATACTCTAATATAAAGACCTTCTGGTAATGGCACAGTACAAACTCTCAGGAAACGCGACAAAAATATACAATGTCTTCACGTCACATTTGCAGATTAAAATGTAACTAAGGTCTCTGGCAAGCACAATAGTTTCAGTGATCAAAAAAAACAACTTCTCTTCAACCAAAATAAAGGACACCATTTTGTTAGTTCAGCTATCTTGACAGATTATGTCTTTTTAATACAAAAATAAGGACAAATATAAATTAATATATATTAAAAGAATCAGATTGATACATAGGGGATCTACTGAATAAGTACAGGTATTTATGATACAATAAATACTTGTCATTCATGACTGGGGGGTAGATAAACAGAGAGTACTGTATTTAACCTGGCAGGTATTATGTATAACACTTCTACAGGTGAGAGCATTTGGATGTGTGTTTGTGTGTGTGTGTGTGTTGTTCAGTAGCTGTAGAAAATACCACAATTTTAAACACAGCTGTGTGTAGGATCGTGCACACAGTCTCAGAGGGTACAGGAGGTCTGTTGAGGGAGTCTGCAGACTACAGTGGTGGTTTCTTGTGTCGTAGGGGGGGTTATCACTGCCCGCCATCTCCCGTGCCTTAATGCAGCTCCTCCTAGTGGTGAGTCTGTGATACTACCAGTTAAGGTTACTCCTAAAACACACAACTCACAGACAGGAAGCAGGAAGTCTACAGGAAGTGGTCAGCCGTCAGTGACCGGCCAGTCCTCCAGGGAAGAGACAGTGTGGCACACCATTGGAGTCATCATGACCAACAAAAAGAAGTAAGGAAAAAGTCAACTCGTGTTTTTTTTTTTTTTGTCTTTTTCTCCACTTCATAATAAAAAATAAGTCTGTTTTTGTACTTTACAATACAATTCAACATCCCCACCGAGGAAGCATCAATCATCAGTCCAGCACTGACAAAGAAAAGAAACTCTTTTTTAGTTGTTTCTCTTGTGGGGTTTTTTTTTTTTTTGCCTTTTTTAAGGGTTTTTAAAAAAAAAACAGGGATGGTGGGGGGACGGGTCTGTGGAGGGTGAAGGGTTTTTTTCAGAAGGAATTGGAACCTTGGACAAGGAGGACGGGGATCAAGTAAGGCGGGCAAGAACATAAAACATATCTGAAGGGGAGGAAATCTGCCAAGGGTGTTGTCTCTTTTTTTGTTTTGTTTTTTTTTTCTCTTTTTTATGAGGAACACTTTGTACAGCCACACTTGACCACTTTCTCCACTTCCTGGACAAAAGAAGAGCCGTCAGTGCACTGGAAGGTGTATTTCCTGCGTTTGCTGCGGAGGGGGGTGCAGCAGGTCCCCTGTCCTTCTGCTCCCCCCGGGCAGCTACCTCGACACTCTAGGCGGGAGACCTTCTCCTGGGTTTGGCACGCCGCGTAGCCTTGCTGTCTCTGGTAGACATCTCGGACCCGTTCCCCTCGGCAGGCCACCTCTGCAGGCATGAGAAGGGAACAGAAGCATTACAAGTTATTCACGTTTTGCTATGAAGCAACAGCGTCATAATGACAAAAGTGATCTTAATGTTGAAAAAATGAAACAGTAACTCAACAAATCAGGTGACTGTAGAGACGACACGAACAGGATGGTAAAATGAGACAAAGTGAGGGATACCACACTGACAAAATCCCTTTCTATAAACAAGCAAAATATTCTGAAATGTTGAGAAATTTGTTTGTTACAAATATAAGATTTGTGAAACTAGCATAAAAATCAGACCACTATAAAATACAGAACTTTAAACTTGTCAAAAATACAAACTATGAAACATTCAAAAAATGTTTTTCAAACTAAAATAATTTGTCCTTTAATCCAAACGTAGGAACTAATTAGAATTGTTTACGTGAATTCCTCTACTTCTATATGTACTACCAATACTGGTACCAACCAACAGTTAAACAGGCTGCTCTCATAAACTGTTTGTATGTTTTCCTACAAAAGGTATTGCACCCTTATTTGTGCATATCTCATGTAGTCATGAGCCAATTATTACCCATGTGTTTTGGAAGGCTGCGATATTGTGACCAATGCGCTGACAGGAGTAAACAAGGATGTGGTCCCGAGCAGTCTCTAAGGAGGCAGGTTAGGGTTGAGATGGGCGTCTGGTACTGTGTGAACTCTGAATGAACTTTGCATACTTTTAAGGTATATCCTCACCATGTTTCTTTTTCCCAAACTTAACAGTAACTTTACTTGCTTACACCTAACCTCTGTAACTTAATGTTAATTACGTTACTCTACCTTAAGGACGTAGCATCATTCGTGGGGTGTCAATTCATAGGATATCAAAGTAACTGTTCTATGAGGGTATGTTGCATTAAAAAATAAATTGTACATTTTACTATTACATCAATATTAGGACCAGATTACCATTTAAAGAGCTTAAGGCCTAGTCCACATGTACTGTGGTGTTTTTGAAAACAGGTTTTTCCCTCCTTCATTTCAAACAAAGAAATCCCATCAATGCACACTGTTATAAAAAAATATCCATTCAAACAAAAATGCAAAAATACAAATGAAGCGCTGTCAAGAGCATGCTACACTAACAGGCAGCAATATAACCATAACAATAGAGCTGCACAAACGTTAACAAAAAAAACAAACAAACGCTATATCTGGAAGGGTACCTGGAGCAGTGGCCTGCGTAGCACATTCTGATGCATGTGTTTCTCGATATAGTGGAAGAGTAACTGTGCATTTATGTGTAAACACGTGAAAACTCCTGTTAGCAAGATTAGAGCCAGCACTGTTTTGATCACGTCCGCCATTGCACAAAATGTCGCCTTATTTGTGACGCCTCACAAAGGAGATAACGGCATACATTCTGACATTACAAAGCCAAAAACTCCCTGTCCACAAGTCAACACTGAAAACTGAGTTTCTAAAAATCTTCCCCCTGGAAGAAGTTTTACAAAAGGTCCCTTTTCAGCAACCTAAAATGCAGTTTGCATGTGGATAAAAGAAATGCAAACTGAACAAGACTGTCTATCGTAGATGACAAAAAAAAAGATCATTCTAAAATTAGATGTTATTCAATTGTCCTAATGTTATGTGGAATTTGAAAGATGAAAAATAAAAAGCAAACAACTTGAGCTGCATGTTGCATGAGGTGAAAACAAGGTGAAGCAGGGGCTGTTGGTGGACATATTTTAGGTTGGATTAGAGAGGAAAAAAGAAAAAAGAAAAGAGAAGAAAAGAGGCGAGATTAAGATGTGACCAGGCAGTCTCACCTGAGTTATCCCCCACGAGGGATTAAGAGGAAGCTCAGGAGATGCTGAGTTAGAAAAGCAACGTGTTAGAAGCGTTAATGCAGAGACATTTAACACTGTTAGACACACACACACACACTACTGAGAGAGAACAGACAACAAAGCAGAAGCTTACAAGAGGTGCTGTTAAGAGAAACATGCTTTCAAAAGCTTGTACTGCAAGATAATATTTTCTGAAGAATGTAAGTAGTGAAATTACTGTAAACACAGGTAATAATTCATACACAGACACAACATACATGTGCATCCCCTCAAAACAAGTTTTTCTCACCTCTGTCACATGCATCTCCTGTATATCCACTGTTACACTCGCAGTATGCCTTGCCCAGGCCCGACACTCTACATTTGCCATGTTTACAGCGAGACACACCGCAGGGGTTGGCAGCATCCTGGTCCTGCTCATCACAGAGTACACCAGCAAAACCAGGCTGACAGCGACAAGAGTACGAGTAGGAGTTGATTGGAAGGCAGGTACCATGGATACACCTGAGGATGGAGAGACAGGAAAGATAAAGATGTGGACAGATATATAAATCTTTGGTGTCTTTGGATCTTGTACTAAAACCTGGTGCTCACTGTGTACTGTAATCCCCTAGCCACCAACACACAGACAAACAAACACTCACTTGTTGCCATCACAGGGGTTGTTGACTTGCTGGTCACACACTGTTCCCGTCCAGCCCGGGTGGCAGGTGCAGGTGAAGCCACGATGCCCTGTTGGGTGGCAGTCACCCTGGACACAGGCGCCTCTCTGGCAGGGCTGGCAGCCTGGCTCCACCCCGTGGCCCAGCCACTGTCTGGTGGTGCTCTGTGCTGTCCCAGAGCCCGGAGCCCCCGTCCCCAGCCCGGCACCAAGGTCCTGGAGCTTCCCGTTGATGTACAGATTACGGAGACAGCCATGGAAGCTGGTGCCGTTTCGTCCGCCTGAGCTATGCTGCAGGGATGAGAGACCCCCGGAGACTGAGGCACGTTCTGGCATACCTGGAAGAATACAGGATTAGAGATTAGAGCATCAAACTGTGGACATACATAATTAAAAAAAAAAAAAAACATTTTCTTTATATAGTGGCTTCTGTGCAAGATTACAATGATTTTCACACGTAAGAGGATAAATTAAAAGACAATAGATTAAACAGTAAAACTCGTTTAAATAGTTATTTGAATACTAAGTGAAAATGTATTAGGATTTAGTTTGAAGATTATAACTGTTGGGATGCCTCTTTCCTCTGGCAGCATGTTCCAATCTGCAGTTCATCTTTCCCTTACTCCACTAAAGGGAGCAATAATCAAGCTGGCCAGTGATAAAAGGGTGCATTAGTTTCTCAGTACCTTTCAGTGAGACAAATGGCTCTACTTTGGCAAAACTCCTAAAACGTATCAAGGTTCTTTTAGTGATCATTTTTGTGGGCTGTAAATTTCAAATCAGGATCAAAATGTGCATCAAGACTACTTGTAGTTTGATGTTTTGTACAAGGGATTTTAACGTAATCTATCTGGGCCTTTGCCCCAATAGAAAATAACCTTTTTCTTATTTTTGGTCTGCAGGATATACGTGTTTATTGTGTGACATTGTGGCAGTAAACTGAACCAGTAAATGTGACAGGATACAAATAAGCATTTGAGGACAGTTATTAATACTCTGCATTATTTCCTGTTATTTTGATATACTGTATTTATCACACATAGCCAACAATGTGAAGATCATTATTTAAAATTGATAATAAATATTGCTGTTTCTTTATAATTGTCCTTAAAATTAACCAGAGTTTTTCGATAAATACATAAATCTACACAGTGATCCTGTTTGACCTGCAGTGGAACAATTCATCTATCATGTGTTTGTCTTGAGTCATTCACACACACACACATAAACACACACACACCGTACTCCTGTCCTTACCTCCCAGGTAAAGCGGAGAATCTATGTTGAGTGTAGACTGTTTGCTGATGGAGTTGATGGATTTGGGCGGCCCGCCGTCAATGGACAGAGACAAAGTCTGGTCTGATGCTACCAACTCCACAGCGTGGAAGCTGCCATCATTCACTGTCTCAACACTGAGAGAGATAGAGAGCATGGAGAGATTGTGTCTGAACATTTGCATCATCCATCAAGTGAATGTAGCAGTTGGGCATTTCTGCTTGTATGTGCAGGTACCTGTATATAGCAGATGGAGGGTAAGTTCCGGTATCATAGCTGACCCTGAGGCGTCCCCTGTACAGCTCCATGGCAATGTGGTCATTGTCCCCTTTATACAACAACACGCCGCTGTCCTCATCTGTAGCAATCTAAAAACAGAGCAGGATGTTTGAATCAATGACTTTAGGTAAATAAAAGTACCAATAAAGCAATGTGAAACTACTTCTGTTTCAAGTAAATGTCCTGCATTCAAACTCCTACTTAGGTCATCATCAGCAAAATGTATTTAAACATGCACTAACTATTTTCGGCCACTAGGGGGTAGCAGAAACAAGCCATTTCACAACCTTGACATATTGCCTTTTAAGTTGGCACATACAACCTAAATCCAATATTTAGTTTGTTTAAGTTCTGCTCTTGGTCGCTTCTGGCCTCAGGTTGTACCTATTAGCATACACTTGGGTCTCTGAAACACACTTAACCTGCAAAAACTTGCTGGTTAGTGGTGATATGTATGCTAATACTGTACATCAGAAACACAAACTGATGCTGGCTGTCTACCAACACCAGAGGGAAATGTAGCTGTTTAGCCGCTAAAAGCTATGTTCACTAGCTGTTAACTGTGTCTCTCTGTAAGGTATTGTACAGTTGGTTATAAAAACTTTTCCACTGAAAACAGCTGCCTGCTGCATCTGATAACAACGCCATGAGAACTGATCCAAAACAGAAAGGTTGCGGGTCGGACATCTAAACAGTGAGCTGAAGGTCGGTATAAAGCTCACACCTGTAGGCTGATGTTGGTCTCCGGTGAGAGGAGACTGGAGGGAAATTGCAGGTAGGACTCGCGGTTGACAAAGTTGACACTGACAAGCATCTCACAGCGCTCGCCTTCGTAGCCTTGGAGACACTGGCAGCGGGGGTCAGTTCCCATGATGACTCACTGCGCCCCGTTGAGGCACTCATGGTTGTCACAGGGGCTGGTGCGAGGAAGTACCATTGGGGGAGAGAACTCGCAGAATAGCCCGCTGCAACACACACACATTGCACACACACATTGAATACAACACGTGTTTCTGAAACCATTATTTTATTTTTTAAGCATGTTTGCGATTCATGACGTAGGCTACAAGTTGCAGCTAAGTAAAAAGTACTCCTAGTCAGAGTTAAGAATGACCATTTGTATGTCAGTTACTCACCACGTGTTACCATGGATTCTTAAATAAATGTTTCTCTCGCATGCTTTCATGGTAAGCGAAGAATGCAAAAAGACATTGACCTGAAGTACAGGGCACTGCATTTAACAACAGCAAAACTCTCACACAACCCCTGCAGTATACTCCTAAGCTCATTTATCCAGTTGTATGCTCAGTACTAAACACATGCATTTTTGCTGAAACATTATAACATTATTTAATTTAATTTAATCACATAAGTACAAACAGTCTCATGCAGGGCTTAGTCCCGTGCATTTGAACTCTGCTCAAGTGAAGCTCACACGTACGTGTGTCCTCAAGCACGCTTAGGACACCCAGATGAAAGTGTTATATATTGTAACATTTTTAGGGAATTTTAGGAAGTAGGCTACTGAGCACATGGCTGGATACATGAGACTTGGGTTATACTACAGGAGTTGTGTGAGTTTTTGTAAACTGATGTTTTGATATAGTGTTGCTGTTGTAAAATGCCATTCCCAATGACTTCAATTCTTGACTTGTGTCTTTTTTGATTCTTTATTCAGTGTGGCATGCCAGAAAAACTAAGTTTTCCTCACAAATTCAAGGTATCCCTTGGTGAGTAGACTAGTTGATATGCAAATGATAATTTTTGGGTGAAGTATCCATTTAAGGTGGGCTCTTTTAATTATCCCGTCAAGCTCTGAGAGACTTAATGGGTGGATGGATAGACGGATGGATGGATGGATGGATGGATGGTTGGATGGATAGCAATAATTGATAGTGAACACAGGGAGGAGCCCCTTCTGCACCACACACTGCAAATAAATACACATTGGGATACTGCTGGCAAAGAGAATGCTATTTGATATGATCTATATATGTGAGCTCCTGCTAGGATGCGTGCTTACCTGTATCCCTCTGGACAGACGCAGGTGTATCCATTGACTGCGTCAATGCATTGACCTCCATTCTGACACTTGTTGTCTTCACAGTCGTTATAGTCCAGCTCACAGTGCTCACCTACATAGCCTGGAGTGCACTCACACCTAAAATGTGTACATACACACACACACACACACACACACACACACCCCTAATTTTAACCAAATGCCAGAATAGAGAAAGACAAGTAGGATCCAGACAATTAAAGCTACATTTAAGGTTTTCAAGATGCCTGATGAAGAGCACCAGCTTCCAGACATCATATGTCAAATTGTTGATAACTTTATACAGCTTGGCAACAAAGCACACACACACACACACAAACACACACGGAGGCAGACACACTACGCTGACCCCAGTACACATCACAAGGGAGTAAAACTAAAGCAAGGTTCAGATAAAATCTGGACAGGAAACCAAATCACACTCCCAACACCTCCCCTCAACACACACACACACTCACACACGTACACACAGACTGCTTATCTCTGCAGGGAAAAACCAGCAACTCATTTATTTTAGTGTGAGAAATGTTAGTACTCAAATCCTGTGGGAGAGAAACAAGAAAACACTCCTAACTCCACCAACTCTGCATGTGTGTAAGTGCGTGTGTGTGTGTGTGTGTGTGTGTGTGTGTGTGTGTGTGGAGTCCACTCACTTGTATCCCTGAGGGGTCAAAATGCACTTTGAGTCGTGCTGACATGGGTTCAGCTCCGGAGCACAGAAATCCAGTTTCTCTTCACATAGCTCCCCTAGCAACACACACACACACACACACACACACACACACGCACACACACACACACACACACACACACACACACACACACAAATCATCTCGACACCTTTTCAATACTTCGCATAACATTAAGAAAAATAATAAATAATAAATAAAGTGAAATTATCATATAAAACACCTCAGTATTTGCCAACTCTACACACTGACAGTGTTTGTGCATCTTGGTATGATTGAGCATCTCTGTGTGTATACGCAGTACTGTATGTATCTGCACTGCATTCACAGCAATGTGTGTGTGTGTCTGTGTGTGTTGTATGGGTGTGTCCTCTGATGATGGATGACTCTCTTGTGGCCAGGACCAACACAGTGGTCTGATAAATGATCTCATCTCTGGGAATGTCACATTCCTGATGATATTCCCGCGTGTATCCTGACGTTTCTAAAACTCTGAACTCCGAACGAATCGCTGATGAGGCATCAGGCAATAAACCAATACTCCTGACAGCATACAGTCCACTCTGATCAATGAGAATGTGTGTTAAATGATGGGGGATGCATGTTGGTGCTTTGGCGCTTCTTTATCAGTAGTAACAGTGCTAACTCACTTATTTAGAAGCAGTCATAATGCACCCAAATTCGTATGTATCCCATGTAATCATGAGCCAGTAATTCGTGCATTACGTACATATTTTGTAAGGCTGCCATCATGAGACAAATGCACTGATGGGAGCAAAGAATGAAGTGGACATATGCAGTTTTGTAAGGAGTCAGGTTGGGGCGGTGGATGGGTCTCTTCCTAACCATAGTAGCATTACTTGCCTAAACCCAACCTCTGTAAGTCTACATTAATAATGTAACTTTATGTTAAGGATGTAAGGCCATTAGATATCATATGAACTGTTGTGTGTGCATTTCCATATACAGTGAGGTCCATAATTATTTGGACAATGATACAGTTGTCATCATTTTGGCTCTGTACACCACCACAATGGGTTTTAAATGAAACAATGAATACCTGCTTAAAGTGCAGACTCTCAGCTTTCATTTAAGGCTTTTTTCAAAAATGTAGTATAAACCGTGTAGGAATTACAACCATTTCTTCACACAGTCCCCCAACTTTAAGGGCTCATAAGTATTTGGACAAACTAACATAATCATCAATTAAACAGTCAGTTTTAATACTTGGTTGCAAATCCTTTACAGTCAATGACTGCCTGAAGTGTTGGACACATAGACATCACCAGATGCTGGGTTTCTTCCCTGGTGATGCTCTGCCAGCCCTTTACTGCAGCCGTCTGCACTTCCTGCTTGTGTTTTGGGTGTTCTGCCCTCAGTTTTGGCTTCAGCAAGAGAAACGCATGCTCAATTGGATTCAGGTCAGATGATATGACTTGTCCATTGCAGAACATTCCACTTCTTTGCCTTAAAAATGTCTTTGGTTGCTTTTGCAATATGCTTCAGGTCATTGTCCAACTGCACTGTGAAGCATCGTCCAATGAGTTTTGAAGCATTTGGTTGAATCTGAGCAGATAATGTAGCCCCAAACACTTCAGCTTTCATCCTGCTGCTCTTGTCAGCAGTCACATCATCAATAAATACAAGAGAACCAGTTCCACTGGCAGTCATACATGGCCATGACATAACAGTACCTCCACCATGCTTCACTGATGAGGTGGTGTGCTTTGGATCATGAGCATTTCCTTCCCTTCTTCCTTCTCTTGTCTTCCCATCATTCTGGTAGTTGATCTTTGTTTTATCTGTCCATAGTATGCTGTTCCACAACTGTACAGGCTTTTTAGATGGTTTTTGACAAACTCTAATCTGGCCTTCCATTTTTAAGGCTAACCAATGGTTTGCATCTTGTGATAAACCCTCTGTATTTATTCTAGTGAAGTCTTGTCTTGCTTACAAGACCAGCAGGATGAAAGCTGAAGTGTTTGGGGCACCATTATCTGCTCAGATTCAACCAAATGCTTCAAAACTCATTGGACGATGCTTCACAGTGCAGATGGACATTGACCTGAAGCATATTGCAAAAGCAACCAAAGACATTTTTAAGGCAAAGAAGTGGAATGTTCTGCAATGGTCAAGTCATATCATCTGACCTGAATCCAATTGAGCATGCGTTTCTCTTGCTGAAGCCAAAACTGAGGGCAAAACACCCAAAACACAAGCAGGAAGTGCAGACGGCTGAGAAAGCTGAGAGTCTGCACTTTAAGCAGGTATTCATTGTTTCATTTAAAACCCATTGTGGTGGTGTACAGAGCCAAAATGATGACAACTGTATCATTGTCCAAATAATTATGGACCTGACTGTATGTACTGTTCTATGAGAATACGTTGAATAACCGCCCATCTTCTGATTAGTGGCTGACCAGCTCTACCTCTTGAGCCACAGCCGCCCAGTAGTAAAAAGTCAGGTTTTAGTGAAAATGCATGTGTTTGGGAAGAACTAGACTGGATAAATGAGACTGGGGATATACTGCATGAGTTGTGTAAGAGTTTGTAAACAGATGTTTTGATACGGTTTTGCTGTTGTTAAAAATGGAGCGCCATGATTTCATCAAGAATTTTCTCCATTTTTGGATTCTTTGTTCACAGGAAGCATGCGAGCAAAACAGTTTTATTTCTGAAATTACCATGACAGGGTGAGTAATTGATACACAAATGATCATTATGTGGGTGGAGTATTCCTGTAAGAACAGTTTTGAAGTGGTATACTGTAAGTCAGATATTTAGGGTGCAGGCAGCAGACTACAAGTCATCTCAACTTTTACTCCTGTCTTAATGAAGTTTGATAAAACTGCAGTGCCCAGCTGATATCACTGAGCCTTTTAAAGGTTTTTCAAGATTTATGTCCTCTGGAGGAATGACTGGTCTTGGGGTTGAGTGCCACAGACAGGCAGGGGAAATTGGAAAGTATTGAGAGATGGAATAACAAGCCATTGGCTTTAGTCTTTTAAAATGTAGCATATCACCAGCCTTCTCTTTAAAGGTCAAAATGTTCACCTAAATCATTAAGACATAGTTTACTTTGACTTACGTAATAACATGTATGCATAAAGCAGCAAGCTGAATCATTCCAGATATATGAGAGGATGAATTACAAACTCAGCGGTCTGTTTGAACAGCAAGAACATGCACTGCTAACATGGAGCATGACTGCTTACAGTATGTTTTATCTGTGGTAATACAGACCAAACTTTCTGGGGAGCGTGGAAAAAGCACAGGAGATGAGGGAAGGAAGGAAAGGATGGAAGGAAGAAAGGAAGGAGAGAGGGACAAGAAGGACAGAGAGAAGAACAGACTAACCTCTCTCCACCTCATTGGTAGCAGCTGCAACCACAAATAAAGACAGACACAAAAAAAAATAGACGACAGATGATAGAAAGCAGAGCGAGACATGAAAAAAGACACAATACAGCGAGACACAGAAAGACAGAGAGAACACCGCCACAAAGGTTAGCAGTCAGAGATGATTAGCACAGTGCAAAAGCAGACAAACAAGCAGCAACAGACCACTGTTAGTTAGAACAAAATATGATTTGTCTGCAGTTTATTACTGTGAAAAGGCCGTCCTTGTCTGTGCATGTTCAGTACTTTTCAGTAGACACAATACAGTTGCAAAGTCGGGGAAGTGGAGAAGTAAAAGTTTATTTTTCCCCAAACACAATATTAGTTGACTCACAGTTAAAGCGCTTCTACAGCTTGGATCGGCATCAGTGCAAAAGATGAACAACTGTGTTAGAAAATGTCTGGTTCTTTGATAAAAAGTCAAAGGTACAAGCTTGTGTGTACATAAAAACATCCAGGTAGAAGTTAACTACAACTCCCAAGATGCATTTTGACAAGAGAAATCTAATCACCAAGCTAAAAAAAATAATAATACTGGGAGAAAGCTTACAATTGAGGTGAGAACTGGCAACACAACCTGCATCTTAAATCAACAATGTCTTTGCATATGACGTCATACATAGGTGCACTGTCCAGATGAAGCAGGCAGCTGGAGGCAGACACTACCAACACTGCACAAATGCCTATGATTTGTGCTGCTTACAGCAGAGATCAAATTGTTAAAAAAACAAAGACTACTTTAAATCCCGTAAATAGTAGGATGTAAAGGGGAGAAGTTAAAAAAAGAGTCACTGAGAAATAGCAGAAGACATGGATCAAAGACCTCAGTCTTCAGCCTGGAGGAGCAGAATCAATGAATTTTAAACATCAATGTTAAAGCTTTGTGTTAAACATGCCTCGAGTTGAATGTCATCACAATGTACTGCCATAACTTCTCTGTATTTTTAGCCAATTTAATGCTCTTATTAAATGTAAAGCGTCATTACATCATGATTGAGTGCCCTTTCAGTCGTTTTAGATTTTGGTGTTCACATTGTTCCCCACCTTTACTGTCACTGCGTTACGGTTCTAACAGCAGGGCTGCTGCCATTTGTGGCAGTTATTTTGAATTTAGGACAGGGTATCTGCCATGTTAACTGTGGACTTCTAAATTGGTTAAGACAGCTCCCTTCAGAACCGTTTCATAGTCTATCCAGACTATAACCTCTCAGTTCATTTGGATTTCCAGAGGGTGTTATTAATTACTGCAGAACAAAATGCCTCTGGACACAATTAGATAGACTTACAACCAATCAGAGTAGTAAAATGAGTGATGTGTGTCTTTTCATATTTGAACTGGTGATGCTTCTATGTCAATCACTGTATTAAACCAAGCCCGTATTACATAAATGGTTGTGATTGGTCGAGCCCGGGTCGGGCGAGCTGGAAATTTGCTGAATGGAAGGGGTTTGCAGAGTTGTCTGGTTCCCAGGCTACGAAAAATCCTAAATGTCATCCTAAACTGAGATAAGATAGAATTTCAGACCTACTACTTTTCTATGATGAGGCTTCTGGAGAGTAATGTGTTGCTCTGCAATGTTGACGTTAAAAAAAGATTAAATTGCGAATACAGAATGTGGAATGGTACCTGTGTATTCTGGTGAGCACATGCATGTGTAGTTGTTGATTCCATCGACACAGGTGGAGTTGTTCTCACAGTCGTTGTCTTCACAGTCATCGATGTTGATCTCACATCCATCCCCTTCAAAGCCCTCTGGACACACACACCTGAGATCACACACAGACGCACACGCATCCGTAAGCAGGTATCAAAGGATAAACACATGTAGGGCCGCATGCAGAACATTGGAAACAGAACTCTTTGGTGCCTCTAGATGACAAAGACACACATGGACGCACAAACACACACACACACACACACAGACACACACACACACACAGCACAATCCATGCGTGCAGCTCATAACAGCAGTGTCAGCTCCATCTACATATCCCCAGTAGAGAGTCATTATTCTGTTAACGTGAGCGTGCCTCAACTCTGTAACTACTACTCAGGTTTATTACTGCGTGTACACACACACACACACACACACATACACATACACACACAGTAGTATATTATGGGTCTAATAAAGAGCTCTTATGCGGCACACACTCGGGTGGATTAATATCTCATTATATAGTCAACGACAGCTCTTGACGATAAATATTCCACCCCCGACGCTGGAGAAGGAAACCAAAGTGTGCAAAGATGGAAATACAGACACAGAGAGGAAGACTGATATGAAAAAGTCACAGAGAAGACAGAAGAGGGCAAGGAAAGAGAGATGGGAGGAGGTGTGATCTTGCGCTGGTCTAATTGTCTGTGTGGGTGGTTAAAATCTGCTTGGAGCGTGCAGACAGGCGTTAGCTCCCCTCCTGTTAATACTTAGCAGCCTAATGAAGAGAAGGTGATTCTCACAGCAGGGCTGTCCGGCTTCGAGACAGACTGAGGACACAACTGGTCCCCTGAGCGCTTTACCTCCTGTACACTCATCCCCACTTGTCATTAGTGGTGCAGCTGTATCATTGATGGAATTATCTGCTGAGGGTCCACAGATCACATGTGGTGTCAATATTAGCATGTTCTCAATAATCACTGGTTCACTTGTTTATTGATATTCAGTATCTGTTAACTGTTGTCTGGTGTTTGCCACTCCTCCGTGGTTTTTAAAGAAGCTCAGTAGATGTTTCTGTATGTTTATTTTTAGGGTGAACACAAAGAAATATACAATTTGTATGCCCTGGATCTGATTTTCTACAGCTATGGTCATTATTCTGATAACAATTTACTTGCCAACTTCACTGGAGAGAGTGAAGTTGGCAAGATCTGAGGATGCTGCAAACACATGAGTGATCATAAAAAGTTTCCTGTTTAAAACTGGAGTAGTAGTAGTAGCAGTTTAATTATGGCGTCCCCGGGCAAAAAATCTCTTAAAACCTTTTAGCATATTTTAAGTCAAGTGGTCTGGCAGAACACTAGACTTCTGCACCTTTGTCTTGTGTTGTCTTGTTTTCAGGTTTCAGAAAATCTAGCCCATGACGGGAGACTTTGGCCAATCACAACTCATTTCAGAGAAAGGGTGAACCTGTTGGCTGCTCTACAAATGCAAATGCATGTTCATGTCCCTATGGTGAAAGCCTGATTCAATGGTGGAGAGTAAGTTACTATTCTAGCTTGGCAGCAACTGCCTACACTGCAAAGCAACCCCAAAAAGGAAGACGGACTTACCAGAAAGAGTCTAAAAGAGAGTCCAATAATAAGCAGATTAAGGTTCATGTCAATTTCAAAGGGTTTCAGAGATGGAGAGAAAATGTTGCTTATAGTTTAGCTTTCTGCTAACCAGAGCTAAAGGCCCACACCTGCAGCTTCATGTTCAAGAGTATGTGAACTTAGCAAAGGTTAGCTAACATTAGAGCCTCGAATCACAGTGTGTCCTCCATCTCACGCCCCGCTGCTACAGACCACTTTGCCAGGATGTGAGTGGGCAGCGGTTCCGGAGATGTAGGGATGCTCGATGTGCGAGGGGAGGGGCCAGCTTTACATTCTGTATCACACACACACACACACACACACGCACGCACACACACACAGAGGCCCTGCTCTCAGTGACAATGGCTGAGAGGTTTGGTTATACTTCACACGAGTTGATGCTGAAACTGCTTGTTGCTACACTTTCAACAACTCTTGTGCAGGTAAGGGCAGAGACACTAGCAATCTTTCAAAACATAGAGCCAAAGTTTGTCACATACAGGTGGAGGAATGCACCGTTTTCTACCGTGTAACTCGTAGTTCATCTCCTGTTACCCCATCCACCTGAGTTAGGTTAAAGTCTACAATAGTAATTCATTCAGGTTGCTGAGGCTTCAAGCATTTTTCTCCCTGTTAAAGGTTTTCTTTGCAGAGTTTTTCCTTATCTGCTGTGAGGGTCCAAGGACAAAGGGTTGTTGTATGCTGTAAAGCCCTCCCCAAAAGAACGTGTAAGGTTAGCGTTTAAGTACTGGATCAATAAGCAGCATTGGTAAGAGCGGTAGGAATGGGTATCCTTCACATTTTAACGGTACCCGTCCCTAAGGAAATGGACCCCTGTCAACAACCATAGCAACCTGTGCAGCCAGTGCACAAGCTTGGCACTGCCACTGGCCACCAGCCTGTTGTGACACCCAGCACTGGGGGGGTTGTGCTGGCTAAATTGAAGGTCTGCTGCCCTCTCTCCTTCCTGACAAACAGTTTACAGCTTCAACCACATTAACTCATTGGTTATTTAGAAGAGGAACAAATGCAAGCTGATTCCTGACTCTACTCATCCCCCTTAGCACACAGTACTTGTGTACACACAGTTTAACAAAGCAATAAAGAAAACAGACATTTGGCCTCTTTCACTTTTGTCATCACTTCCACAGAGGTGGTCTGAGTACCTGGTTTAATCATTACCTGATATTTGTTCAAAGCCACTGAGTGTTAAATGTTAAAACGTCTGACTTTACAGCTCCCTCAATGTGGCATTAAAAGAAGACACGGTGGCAGAAATCCATTCAGAGAGCTGCTGTCCTGGCAATTCAAATGTTAACAGGCCACTCTGGCAATTTTGCATTACACTTCCATTAAGTTGGGAGACTCACAAGGGACAGATTTAAGAAAGAAAGGTCAAAGTGATGCAACAGAGCACCAAAATATCTGTACTCTTGGTCAAGTATGGGTAACATGGGTCAAGCTACAAAACAGGGTTGATCCTACAACTCCAATAATATAGCATCTTTAAGCAGACCCTCTTTGTCTGGCACATGCTCATGTCTATTAAACCTTAACATTTTTTCAGACTTTAGAAATCTCCCCTCAGAGCTACAGAAGACATTATACAGTTTTCATAGAGCTGAGTAGTACTCCTCGAGACAAGTAATCTGATATCAAAGTGTAAAATAGGTGGAAAGCCTCTTTAACATAAGCCATACAGACATAATAGCCTAAACTAACCAGGCTGAAAAAAGTCTTTTAAATAGTCTCTCACCAAAAGTTGCTTCCCTCTCCTTCCTTCAGGTGGCAGGTGCCGCCATTCTGGCACGGGTTACTAATACAGGCATGAATGGGCTCCTCACAGTTCTGTCCCTACATGCAAACACAAACAAACATTTAGTGCATCCAATGAACAATAGCTTCTTATCAATATAGAATTTGCAACTATTTGCTAAATGATAGGATTTTCTTATTCCCTTGTGATTAGGAGAGACTGTTGAGCAGTGGCATGTGGTCCATTACGGGTGCTGGGGCGACGCCCCTCACGGCATTCCAAATGTGAATTCAGTATTCTAATGAAAATAATTTTTGTTCTTGTTGTGTGTGTTTACATTTAAGTTGGTACTCTCACATAAATCCTACATTACCTAATATGCAAGGACTATTGAACAAGCACTGCCCACAGTCTCTGTTTTAGTGTGATGAAGGGCGTACTTTTCCCTGCCTGAGCAGTATGTCTCTAATATGTTCGGATTTTCTTGATAGCCACTGATTGGTTGACATCACACGCTGAAAAATAATTGGATGTGGGATGGAAAATTTAATATCAAGAACTGACCCTTCGTTGGCCTTCTGATTGGTCTGCTGACCCACCAACCAGAGTGCTCCTCCCCATAGCAACAGTTGCTAATGTACTGGGGTCCGTCAAACTCCGCCCCAGGCTGTGTTCTCCCACGCTCATTGTTAATGGTGTCACAGTGAAATTAGTGATTTATATTATTTTAACATGCTTAAAAGGTGTGCTTGGGGTGTCTGCAACAGTGACTCGAGATATCCAGAACGTATTCCCGGAGTAGTTTTTATTCCATCCCAAAGAGTAAATGACGTTTCTCTCTCTTCCTCCTGGATCTGTAGCACTTTGCATTTATAGATGTGGCTGTGAATGTCACATCGTGTATATAAGACTCCACTGCATACTGAAGGCCCTGTTGCAGACATTTGGATGATATTTGTGATCCCTGGCTCCAGAAATGGTCACTGACAGACTCGAGGGATAAGTCTGTGGAGACAAGACGGGCGAGAGAGCTAGCAACTGCAGGGGCTCACGTTAGTGGCCATGGCTACCGTCAGACATCGGGACAAAACAACGATTTTCACCAGTTTTCAGAGATGTCATGTAATGCCCTTTCAGCCACATTTTTAATTTGAAATACGAGAAATTTAATTCTCCCGGTATTTTCCATTGTTTCCTATAATGAACCCCCGCGATACTAGTTTTGTCGAACCAAGCAACAGTAACCAAGGAGGGCGGGGCCATGGGCGGGTCTTGACAAAGGGTGAATTGTTGACTGTTGTGCTGTCATAATGCAGATATTGTTCTTATTTTTTTTCAATATTCATATACTTTTCAGGTGGAAAACTCATGCCACCACTGCTCTTAAGCATGTGAATATGACCCTTATGGTTTTCCACAGTACCTTAAATCCGTAGGGACAGGTGCAGCGGTAGTAGTGCACCGGGTCATTAGAGCAGGTGCCATCGTTCTTGCAGGGGTTGGACAGACAGGGTTCACATTTAGCCTGGATACTCATATCTACTGGACCTGTGTGAGACAAACACACACACAAAACATACACACCAGAGAGATGATTGGCTTTAAATAATGTTCCACACACAAGGCAGTAAGATGAGTCAGAATACATATGTTGACATACACTCAGACAGCTGTACATGATCAGGGACCTGCATAAACCTTGCATCACCTCAAGTCACAATTTTGTGCTACAAAGATGTATTTATTCCCACTGGTTGCTATGTAGTTTGACATTTAAGATAATATTTTATGAGAAAATAGGTCATTTGTATGGGGAAAATAAGGGGAAAAAAACACCACCACCTATACTGCCATATAAGTTAAGCACTTAGAAACTTGAACACAAGATAATTCAAAAGATGAATAAAAGCAACAAGGAATACATTGTTTGCAGGGCCATGACATGTACAGAGAACACGCATATTCCCAAATTTCATGACAGAACATCAAGTTCTAACAGTTGGGTCACAACATGAGGGCTGAATGGGAAGCAGAGCGGTTGTTCAGTTCGGTGAGGGCTCAAAGCACGAGGAAAGGTGGGCCGGGACTGTCTTGAGGAGCTGGGGAAGGAAGGACTGAGGAGGAAATACTGGGATATGATTGGCTACTTTACCTGGCACCAGGAAACCACAAGGCCCCGGGACTTCTACAGTGCGTCAGTTAGATTAGGTTAAAAATAGGTTTCAGTCATGTGTTCATAGTTAATGTGATAAAATAAGTCAGTAGCATTTTGCAGTTTGATGAGTTACAGCCACAATCATGCTCACAAGCCAATTTGTGGATTTTAGAGTTATTATCTAAAGTTAAATATTAACATTTTGTTGGTGTCCAACGAAAATCATCACTGACATCAGCTGAAATAACCCTGTAAAAACTAAAAATCCCAAATCACAAATGTTAAAACAAAGCTTTTTGTAAATTGTCCATTCAAGGTTTATGTTATTTAGATACACAGTTTTCATTGGACACTTTGTAAATGGCAACTTGTGGTCTCCTCTAGGAGTCCTCATCAAGTGTGTGTGTATTTAAATGCACTGCATAATAATGGTATGCTTGTCTGCAAAGTATGTGTGCATGCTTTTATATCTGGAAACCTAATAAAGTGCATTAATACATTCAACATATAGGTGTGTTTGTATATGTATTTACCTGTGCAGGTGAACTTCTTGGAAGGCGTGGTAAGCAGCAGTTTGTCAGTCATGTCACCAGGCCCGGCGCAGCGGGCGATGCCAGGCTCCTTGTAGCCACTCTTCACCCAGTCTGACAGCCACTGCATGTGGCAGTCACAGTACAGAGGGTTGGCACCCAGGGCCCTGCGAGCCAGGAAGAGAGAGCAGAGTGAGACTGATGTTCAGTCATAATAACATGAGGAAAATGCAGCACTTCATTTCAGAGCCGACGTGTTGGCATACAGAGCCAAAACAGAAGGAAATGTGTCACTGTCTCAATACTAACAGACCGAGCTGTGCATCGCTGTCAAATTAAGTGAGGTATATTTCTGCCATAAATAACTGAGACTGTAGTGGAGATAATCGGGAGCATCTATCTCACGCTGGTAGCTGTGTTGGGGGTAGTATTTCTCAAACTTAAAACACTTTCCATAAAGTTTTTCCTGATGTTCTACAGCTCAATAAACCACGTGTAAGGTAATTCTTAAAGGTAACTAATGGAGCATTTCATTAGTCCAGGCAGAGCACTAAAGCTGTGCTTGCATAAGCTTATTAGCATCATCTGCTTTATTAATGCACCACAATGACTGGCTCATTCATCAGCTACTTGGCTACTATCTTACTAGTAACCAATCATATGCATGCAGCTGTACTGCACTACCTTTAATACCCAACTCTGCTGATAGTTGATACTTCCTGCAGAATCATCATTGCTGCTTGGATCATTTCCTTCCTTCCTAAAAACAACAGATCTGACTGAACTGTTATAGTGCTCAAGGAGGAAGTTAGAGCCACTCCCAGGCTTGTAGTTCTGTTGTAGAGAAAGAGATAATATTAGACTAGTGGTCTGCAGTGGGGCAACTAGAAACTGCAGCAGACTGTCACAGGCGCTCTCCATGGTTCTGATCCTCATGAGCGCCCTGGGGGCATTCCCACCAGCAGGTAACTAAAAAGTTGTTAGCATCATCCTTCGCTTGTGTGCAGCCAATAGAACCTCTGTGCTCTCTCTACAGAGTGCTTACTGAACATCAGTGAACTTAAGAGAGAGAAAAGTAAAAGCTCTTTCATGTGTGAAGTCAATTTTTCTGTTCTCAGTTAGTGCTTTGAATTTGTGCACCGGAGTTGTTCATACAGTTTTACAGTCAAGTAGATTAGCAGATTTCTTTAAAAGAAATAATAATAATGATAATAATAATAATAATAATAATATTGAGCATTACTCAGATGAGAAAAGGGCCTCTAGAATCCCACCAAGGTCAAAATAGTTTACTTAAACTAAACTAAAAACTAAGAGTAGGCATTGGTACATGTTTATTGGGACCGGGATGTCTACATGACTGTGAGTCAGTTGGCCTTACAGTGATGTGTTTGTATTGCATTAACTATTCTGTACCTCCTAAATCTTGCCCCTTACAAATACTCTCTATATCATAAAAAAATAAAAAAAAATTCTTAAGCTAACAAAAACTAAACTAAACATATTTAAACACTAAAAATTAAACTGAGATGAGCAAACCCACTCTGAAAACTAACTGAAACTAAACTGAATTAAAAAACAATAATTAAAAACAAAATAAAAATAAAAACACATCATTACTACACAGGTGTGCCTTGGGATGGTCATAATAAAAGGACACTCTAAAATGTCCAGTTTGATCACACAATACAATGACACATATGTAACAGGTTTTGAGGGAGTGTGCCATTGGCATGCTGACTGCAGGAATGTCCAGCAGAGCTTTTACCCGTTAGTAAATGTTCATCTCACAACCATAAGACATCTTCAATGTCGTTTCTGTGAATTTGGCAGTACATCCAACCAACCTCAAGATCAAGACCATGGTGAGGTCATTGAGCACGCAGATGAGCTTCCCTGAGATGTTTTCCAATGGTTTATGCGGAGATTCCTCAGTTGCACAAACCAATTGTTACATTAGGTGTTTTGGTGGCTGGTCTCAGACAATCTTGCAGGTGAACACGCTGAATGTGAAGGTCCAGAGCTAGTGTGACGGTGTGTGAGGGCGGTTGGATGTACTGCCAAATTCAGGGAAACGACACTGGAGACATCTTACGGTGGTGAAATGAACATTCAGTTGATGGGCAACAGCTCTGGTGGACATTCCTTAGCCTTTTATTGTGACCAGACACACTTGTGTAGTAATGATGCTGTTAACTAACTAACTAACTAACTAACATGGATTTTAACACATTTGCGACCAAAATTTGAGAGAAAACTATCTATTGAGTGCATGAAAAAAATCTAAACCTGCAAACAATGGGAGTAAAATAAAAGTGTTGCATTTGAATTTTTGTTATATATGTATAATGTATACCACCTTCAATAGCAAATATTACAGAATACTATAGAAAAGTACTAGAGAAAAGAGGAGAGCAGGAGAAAGGAGATTGCTGTAGATGGGTCTGCTGCTCAGTTACTTTGGCAGCCTGATACATTCACAGAGAAGCCTCACTGAGCAGACATTTTCCTTTTTGGACGACGAGATAAGGCTCTTTTGTCATGATAATGTGTTTTCCTTACTTTGCAATTCTATAAGGTAAAAGGTAGACACTTCAATGCTGGAGAAAGACGTGAACTGTGATATGTGTGTGTGTTTATATTACTCACAGGTGGGAGAGCGATGACAGGTCTTTGAAGGCTCCCTCTGGTATCAGTGATATGTCGTTACCATGGAGAGACCTAAGGAAGGGCAACAGAAGGAAGAAGAGAGAGGAAAAAGGGCACAGAAGTATAGAAAAGAGTCTGGATGTTAAAAGTCTGGATGGCTTCTTCAGCAGCAGGCTGACTTAAAACGTTTCTGAGTTATCCTCCACCTGGCATGTGTTGTGACCGATACTCACAACAAACGGAGAGACTTGAGTCCATCGAACGCCCTCACTGGTATGCACCGCAGGCGGTTGTAGCTCAGGATTCTTTACACACAGAATGAACATGTTGGCATGGAGACAAATGCAGTCTTTTTTTTTCCAGGTATCTTCAAATGCAGCATAGCAGTACATAACACGAAGCAAAGCAGTAGAGCAAACACACGCACACACACAATTTAAAACACCTGTCAGCATAAACACATCCATCCAGTCGGAAACACACACACACACACACACACACACACACACACAAGCAAAAATCTTACCCTCTGGGAAATTGATTCCCCTGTTTATGTGCATTTTTGTCCTTTTCTAGTGTTATTTTATTTACAGTAACATGTAGCACACTAATAAGCTCTACATTTAAGACACATTTAAGTCTGTAACTGGAAAAAAATGTACTGATGTATAGAGGATGTACTGTTTTTTAGGGGTGGGGAAAGAATTGATACAGAATAGTTATAGATATTTTACGTGGCAACATTGTATCAATTCACGAATGCCATATATCAATTATTTTTTTTTGTTAAATAAATGATTGCAAATATAAATTAAACTTTTGGTAGCCTACTCAAATAATAAAATTAATTACTTTTTTCAGCAGATACATTTTGCTACAATAAAAATGATTAAAAATGAGTTGAACAGACTGAAAGTTTTTTAGAAACTTAAGGATTTATTAGTTAAGCAGAAATCCTCCCCATCAATTGGCACAACCCTTCAAGAACCTGATACGTCATCAGTAGTTGTCAATGGCGTTTACACAAACAGACGTGACTATGACAGTAATGGTGCAGTCATCACAATGACATTTGCCATTTATCTGATGGAGACAGAAAAGTTCACAACTTGTGCTAATAACGTTGCATGTTGTATTTGTTTAAAAAACTAAAAACCTACTGTTGTTTTGTTGGTGAACCTTGTGAGTTGTAATGGAGCCAAACTGTGTGCTGTTACCTTTGTTAAATGTTGCCGTTGTCCCTGGTTTTATAAGAGAAGAAGAAAGGACCACTCATTGCTAGGTTAATTTATACGATGTAAAATGACATAGGCTTGTGCTAATAACGTTAGCATGCTGTATTTGTGGGGAAAATGTGTCCAGCAAAAGACAAGTGCTTTGTCTGTGAATGCTGCGAGTTGTAGTGAAGCCAATTTGTGTACTTGTTTTTCAAATTGTCTCTATTAAGACATGTTTAATGTGTGTTTTGGGTGTGTTTTGAATCATCTAAACTTTACAGCACTTCACAGAACCCTCCGCCGCTGACTAGTGTTTTGAAGGAGTTACTGCAGAGTGACACAGACACACCACAGCAGAAGTAAAAATGCTCACAACGGCATAGGCGACGTGTGTAGGCGACGTGCGTAGGGTCAACGCATGACCATAAATCCCCTTTTAGTTTCAAGCCATAAATCCATCAAACAAGTCATCAAATGAAATAGAACACGGTGCACTATGGGCTAATGTTATCAACCTGTGCGGAGCGGCAACAAGTGCATTAACTTTACTACTGGACTTTAATTAAATTTTGTGTCAGTTGGTGTCATAAGTCATCAAAGAGGGTGGAATGACACATCGTAATATGTCAAAATGCAGGACTGTCATGACCTTATCAGCAAAAACATTGTAACATTAGCTAGCTAGCCAATTAGCCACCAAGACACAGCATACTTGTGAACTATAATACATTGAAACGACATTAAACTAAGAAAATACAATGGTTAGCATCATTTTTTTTATTAACAAAAAAGAACGATTTTGTGTTTTGTTTTGTTGTTTTTTTTGCTTGTGCAGCCATCTTGTTGATAAACACTCAGTTAAGAGTTTGCCTCTGAAAAACCTCCGTTTGAAGGGTCATGTAGTCTTATCACTTCACCCTACCACTCTACCCCAGGCAGAATCGCAACACCGTATCCGAGGACTTGAACGCACAAAATGGAGTGGTAAGGGCTAAACTGCAAATTGTAAAATTGTAAATTGGGCAAGAAGTGTATTTAGATTGAACCTAGATGTTGACAAAGTTTTCCTTTAGGGACATAATTTGCAATTCAAAGAAAGGTAATGAATTGTGATATATTGCAATGTATGCTATTGTAATTGAAAAACATTTAAAATTACAATAATATTGTAATGTGACTTATTATTGTACCGTGAAGTATTGTGATAATTGTACTGTGGGGCCCCTGGTAATTTCCTCCCTACTGTTTTCCTCACTGACCCAAACATGTCTGTCTTCCAATAATTTAGTGGTTCATTTTGGAAAAAAAGCTACTTTATTTATTATTAATTGTTGCTGTTTGTAGTAGTTTGTGTAAGGTCAGCATTTTCTTGTACTTCTGGCTGTGTGATGATGATATTTCCAACTGCTTATGACTGCAAACTCAGTTGCTTTGTGATTTCCTTTATTTTTTTGCTAACAGTGCACTGAAAAAAGCTCATTTATAGGCTCCCATGAGTCCACTACTGTATAGTGTCTCACATGAGACAGTACTCATGTGTGACTATGTCAGCTCAACAAAATATGTGTGATATGTGCGGCAACAGGAGCTCCTTATTTGATTCCTGCTTTCCCTTAGTCAAGTGAGCTACACACACACACACACACACACACACACACACACACACACACTGCAAAGGGACTGATGTAGGGCCAGACTCACAGGGTAAGCAGCTCAGACATGTTACTGAGGCTGTGGTTGGACAACGTGCTGATCTGGTTGTTACTCAAATCACTGAAAAGGAAACAATAACAGATACATAAAACACACACAGGCCGCACTGTCAGCACATGCTTCAATAAACGCACACACAAACTCTGTGAAGTACAGTACATACTCCTTTGTATTCTACTGTGCTTGGGTTCTCACGCCCACACGGACCATCAAAAGTGATACAACACAGAGCTCTGATACAACAGCAGTCAGTTAGTTTTAGTCTTTAAAAAGCAGAGTGCAGGGAATACAGGCCAAGTCACGATCCTCATTTAAAGTGTGTTTGACTGAGCAAAACTCTGGCTTTGTGATGAACGCGTGTGAGCTGAGGTCATATGGGTGAGACTTACATCAGTGTTAAGTGTTTGTAATTGGAGAGTTCCACAGGAACCTGAGTGAAGTGGTTACCATCCAGATACCTGAGAGAGAGAGAGAGAGAGAGAAAGTGAGAGTGAGAGTGTGAGAGAGAGAGAGAGAGAGAGAGAGAGAGAGAGAGGGTTTTGAACAAAAGGAGAAATATAGAAGATGTAAGGAGGATTGAGAAAGAGAGAGGGGGAAAATGGGAGGGGAGAAAATGAAGTTATTTAGCCATGTGGGAAATTCCTCATCTCCAGCAGTGTGAGCAGTCATTACTGCTGCAGCCATAATAAACACTGGAGCTTAATATCCCCACAGGCATCCTAATACAGTATAACCACCTTCTCTCTCTCACATACACACCCACACGTACGACTGCAATCATATCTCCTTCACTCTGTGACAATGTGCTATTAATCCAGTGTATTAATTAAGTCTTTGTTAATATTGGAGAAAGCCTGTTCCCCACAGGTGAAATAGTGAAATGATAGAAAATACCACCGTGCCTGCTGTCTGATGTTTAATTTAGAGCTATCATTTTCTGATCATCTGGGGTTTTGTGTGTATCTTAAGCTGAGTTTCTGGAATAAAATCCTCTGTAAGCCTTCAGTATGTGTACCTGTGTCTCTGTGAGCCTTGTGCTACTGTTTCATGTGTCTTCTGACCGAGTACAGCTTCAGAAAGTAAGAAAAACAAGATTCAAATGTACAATGGATCAAGATTTAGATTTTCTGAGGCCGACAACTTTGAGGTTACAATGGCAGCAAATCTGTCTTATTCCATGATTACACCATACATGAAGAATGTGTAAGGGCTACTGATGCTTCATTTTCGCAATCCACACAAGCTTCGGCCTCAGTTATGGCTTAACTGTCCTCAAAGCCAGCTGTCCTGTCAGCCACATAGATCCTAAGGTGATGACAGGACAGCAGGTGGACCAGTCTTCACCAGTCTGGGCAAAAATATTTACCCCTGCCTGTTGTAGCTCTACAAGCCCAAAGTTAAACTGGAAAAGTTGTTCATTGATCATTATAGATGTAGTTACAGGTTCAATATGCAATCATTCCCAGGTTATCAAATACTGATGACCTCAGTGTCAGTATTTAAAGACAGTGAGACCTAACAATCAACTGTCTTTCTCCAGACATACAAACTGCACATTTAAGACGTTGACAACATAAAGAAAGTGCCTTGACACAAATTGTTACATTTGTTATATTAGACGCAAATCTGATAAGTAATGAAAGTTTAAAATACTTCAGAAACCAAAAAATGCATGAATGAATAAATAATGAATAATCTTTTTAAATGGATATTACTGTATAAAATGACCAATTTTGATCTCTAGCATAATCACAGTCTCATTGAACTTTACAGTCACAATCTAGAGATGTCGGGCAGTCAGAAGATGTATGGCTTTCATAGCTATACAGACAACGAGGGAGTTTCTGAGCAACTCTCAGAACAGAAGTGATGCAACTGCTGTAAAACGCTTTTGATACAAAATCACAGCATGAATTTTTCGGGTGCTCCTCAGCTTCTTGGTTTCTTAATGTGAAATTAGGGGGGGATTTCTGACCATTTTTTATCATCTCTCAAATGGTCAAAATGCCTAAATTTAGCACCAAACCTGTGTATGGAAATGGCCATCATATACTTTCATCATAATGTTCTAAGCCCCATATACACACTCTAAACTTTTAAAGTTTCAATAGGTGCCTAACCAAACACAATGTTTATTGCATATTCATGACAAGAAAAACTTGAAATTTGTTTTTGGAGATACATGGTTTACATGTCTTGTTTGAGGTTCAGTAGGTCAGTAAAGTAGGAGATGGAACTCTTGCACTTAATGATGTGTCGGTGTGTCACTCACAGTTCAGTGGTCTCTTTGGGCAGGCCTTTGGGCAGCGTGGTGAGACCCTTGTTGCTGCAGCGCACCACAGTGTCCAGACAGGAACACTCTGCTGGACACCTCAGCAGTGGAGAGCAGCTGTTCTCATCATTACCTGATGAAAGATGATAAAACAGATGGAGTGGTGGAAAGGGGAGGAAGGATGATGAAAAGGTGGTAATGAAAAATAAAAACTAAATTTGTCAGGGCTGCAGATGCCACAGTGTCATGCTTAAAGGGTGTATCTGCTCCGTCTCACCATCTTCACAGGCAAAGTCCTGGACAGCTACATCCTGGATGGGGATCTCCTTCAAGAAATAAGGATTCTGGCAGCGAGGGTTACCGGTGACGATGCGTTTCCTTCTCAGCCAATCACCCAGCCAAGCCAGGTGACAGTTACAGTTGAAGGGATTGGCCAGAAGGTTGCTGGAGAACAAAGGGAGGAGTTGGATGCTGTGTGTTTGTGTGTGTGTGTGTGTGTGTGTGTTTGTACATTTGCATTTGTAATGTGTGTGTACTCACAGCGTGGACAGGGAGTGTAGTGTGTCAAAGGCTCCGGGGTTCATGGAGGTGATCTGGTTGTCGTAGAGTGACAGAAGACGCACTGAGCTCAACCCCACAAAGCTGCTGTTACTCACACAGCTGATGTGGTTACTCCTCAGCATACTGCACACACATAGACACACACACACACAGGCACATACAGACAAAAAAGATTAAAGTTACTGTGCATTTTACAGAAAATAAAGATATATTCATTATAATATAAACCTGCGAATTATGCATGCTCACATGTTTTCAATGTTTGTGTGTGGACTTTATCATAGTGTGTGAAAGCATATTTGAATATTGTTCCCATGTTTGATATGATAATGTGATTGCATATGCATTTAAGAAACTCTGTGTGTGTGCGTGTGTGTGCGTGTGTGTGTACCCACAGTGTGCGGAGGCCGCTGAGTCCCTTCAGCATGCGGTGGTGTATGTTCTCCAGTCTGTTGGAGGTCAGAATCAACTCATTGACTCCTGAGGCTCCTTCAAACGTCCCCTCCTCTATGTCAGTGATACGGTTATTGCTCAGGTTACTGCAGGAGCGAGAAAGGTAAGATGGCAGTAAGAATGAAAAGAGTGAAAGCAAGAGAGATGAAAGATGTAGAGAGAGCAAGAAGAGGACAAAGACAGCAAGAGGGAACAGAAGTAGCAGTAGTAGGAGTAGATGGAGGTAAGGCATATTGAGAGAAATAAACATGGTTCATTTTGATTTCTGTGTCAACACAAGTACAATCATAGCTTTCTCTGTGTGACCTTAGTATGACTTCTTGACAACCACATGTGACTCTTTGTTCCCGTTACGTTTGCAACATGTCTGACTCACATCTTTCTCAGCTGAGGCAACTTTTTGAAGATCCCTGTCGCCTCGAGCACAGTGAATTCATTGTTGTTCAGACGCCTAGGAACAGAGAAGAGAAGAGGTGGTCAGAGACAAAGAGAGAGAACAACAGAAGAGACGGAGACAGGAGGAGGAGGAGGAGGAGGAGGAGGAGGAGGAGGAGAAGATCAAGGCCGATGCGATGTTTCCTCTATATACCACACAAGGATACACTTTGTAGTAAAAAAATACAGCTTGACTCACAGTTCAGCAGTGTACTGGGGAATGTGATCTGGTATTTTGGTAAGTTTCTGGTTGGAGCAGTCGACTGTGGTGCCCTCACAACGGCACTTGTCCGGGCAAGCCAAGTCGGCGAAGCAGTCCCCTCCTAGTTTGCTGCGGTAGTCCTCGGTACCTGGTCACAATTATAAGCACAAAGTCACACAACGCCCTCATCGTGCAAGAGTTGAACCCCAGCGTTTACTGGTACCAGTTCCAATAAAAATATTGTGGATGGCCTGATTGAAAGTTGTGATACAAAAGAAGAATTTTGACATAGTGCAGAGGGGCTGTGCTGCTTTTGTTTGGAGTGGAAATTGTCAAATTGAACCAAACATGTTTGAAAAACATTGCTGATTATGCTCGTATGCATCATTCCCCATGAGCATTACTTCAAAATGCTGCATGTGTATCGCGGCCTAAAAGGCCAAGTTCACAAGACGCACAAACTGTCAAGACATGTGTACAGGCACACACGCATCCACACACACAGGTTGGAGTTTTTCAGTCCTGTCAGACTATAAAGCAACTGTTAGTGTTAGCAACCATAGCACAAACCAGACAGTTTAGATCACAGCAGAAAAATGCTCACACACACCCAGCAGTCATCTGTCATACTGTACAGGCACACACACACACACACAGACAGACAGACAGACACACACACACACACAGACACAGACACACACACACACAGGATGACAGGAGATTGCTGTCTCTTGCGTCTTGGCCATGCTGTAGGGTTTTGCAGGGCCGTTCCATGGTGCTTGACAGAACCATGTTCCACTTTAGGAACCTGGCAGCCACATGGTTAGATCAAGCACAAAGGAACAACCTGCTGACTGACTGCTCCTCCGCTGGAACACAGGGGCGGGAAGGACAGGGGGAGAAGAGGGAAGAGGAGAGAGGAGGAGCAGAAAAAAGGGAGAGGATAAGATGTAGGAGAAGAAGGAGAGGACAGGAGAGGAGAAGATGAGAGGGAGAGGAAGGGAGCAGGAAAGGGGGGAGGATGAGGTAGAGGAGAGGAGAGATGAGAGGAAAAGTAGTAGGGGAGAGGATGACAAGAGGAGGAGAAAAAAGGGGTGAAGGGGAACATAACAAGGAAAGGAGGAAAATGAGGAATAGGAGAGGAGAGGAGAGGAGAGGAGAAGAGAGGAGAGAAGAAGTATGGAGAGGAGAGGGAAGGAGGAGATGAGAGGGAGGAGAAGAATGATGAAAGGGAGTAGGAGAGGATGAGAAGGAGAGCAGATAAGGATAAGAAAAGAAAGAGTCCAAGGGACGAAAATGGAAAGACAGCCGTCTGGCTCGAGGAAATATATTGCTCGGAATGAAGAGGGAAGGGGAGCAGTAATAGGGAGGAGGAGGAGGAGGAGAAGAGGAGGAGAAGAGGACAAGATCAGACAGGGTGGAAAGTACAGTAAAGAAAAAGCAGGGGAAGTAGACTGGAACATCTAAAGACATCTAAACTCACAGACATAACACAGGAGAGCAGGAACAGAGCTGCAGCTACAGAGGAGTGGGAGGAGAGTTACAGCAGCACTGAAGGCAAGAGAAGCCCTGACTTCTAGGAACACACACCACACACGCACGCACACACACGAATTCCAACAAACATGGGCACACACACTTGCAAACACACACAAGAACAGCATGAAGAGAAAAAAATACATACACTGTAGTGTGATAAAATGTGAATTTTATGGATATTCTCATTATTGTTGTTTGTAAACAGACAGGAGGAGTCACAGAGGGGGTCAAAGGTCACTGTGGGATCTAGAGGTCAAAGGTCAGAGGCCGGCTCAGGAGACGAGAGGTGAGGGTTTCGGAGCTGACGCAAGAATGATGTGTGTTTGTGTGTGTGTTACTTACAGCCGACATGGTGTACTCCTGAGTGTGTGAGAGAGGCAGTAGGAGAAAAAAGAAGGGATTTCACTCTTTCATTTGAACAAGAGAGAAAAAAGGGGAGACTGAGAAAAAAAAATGCTGCAATTTTTTTGTGTTCAGTCCTCAGGCAGTGATTCATTTAAAGGGGTAATGACTCGTGAATAGTGAGACTCGTGCCGGCATAACATGACATTTGGTGGGTGCTTTCATCCAACACACATCCCGGCCTGGTTTGCTTGAAGCACGACTGATTCCGACTTGTTCTGGGGGGGGATTGCGGCGTGCAAGATGACGAAAAGCACACATAACCAGATAAATGCGCCATGCCGATGAACAATAAAATTTAGCCCGCTCTAAACACTTGCAAGCGTAAAGTACATTATTTTTGCTTTGTGTGTATTCTTTGACATCAATCACTTCAGTTCAATCTTTACACGAGTAAAACAAGGAATGGTTTGAGGGATAAAACTGGAATTAAAGAGTTTTTGTTCAAACTGATATATGAGATAGGATCCAAAATAATACAACGTGAAATAGGGGACATGATGCAAATTAATTGAGAGGATTTTAGATGTATTGATCCAAGGCGTGATACCAAGGTTGTACCACAGAATAAAACATGTTTATTCAACTTTTCAACCACAAATCTTCTTAAATTATTCAGCTTTGCCACGTATGTGGTATCTGGGCTTTGAAACCTCCGTCCCCCCGGTGAGTTAATGACTGCAGTGAGCACACACACACACACACACACACACACACACACACACACACACACACACACACACGCTCTCATCCAACACACACCATCCCTCCTCTGTGTGCTGCTGTGGTAATGACCGCCTTTAGCCCTGCTACTGATCTCATATGCATGTCTGATTTACATATTTCCCAGCACCCCTCTGAGCATGGTAACTGCGTGACCTTTTGATGTTCTGCAGTGGGCGAAACAGACACAGATGCACGCTCATACATTAGCTATCATTAGATGTGCTAAGAAGCGAGGAGGACTGTTATTAAATATAGTCTCTGTGATTGCTGTACCAATACACTTTCATTTATACAGAGTCTCACATGGAGTGCCCGGCTGACAGCGGCCTGAGCCCATTAATCCGATTGTTTTTCTCCCTCTATCGTCAAGGTTACGGTTACCATCGGAAAAACCCAAGTGCAAGGACAAGAGTGTGATTATCTGGTGCCTGGTTAGACGTGATGCATTATGATGTACGTTAAACCATTAAAAGAAATTATCTTGGCATTCACAAGGTGTCAGTCAAGGCAAGTCACTCACGCAAGTGTAGAGTTGCAGCATCTGCCGTGTTGGACCAGACAGTGTCTTATACATACATACACACACACGCACACACACACACACACTCACACACACACATGCTTGATGTACAATACCTGGGATGAAATACTGTTCTCTAGCTAATGGAGAGACAGAGAGAGTGAAAGTGAAAAACAACCAAAAAACATAAGGCTAGTCTGAAGTAAAGTACTCACTGGCTCTGTGTGTGTGTGTGTGTGTGTGTGTGTGTGTGTGCGTGCTTGTGTGTGTGTGCGTTAAAATGCAAGAAGAGAGTGAGAAAGATGCCAAAAAATGCTGAAAACAGGGAGTTGAGGTTAGTAGAGAGAGGCTGAGGGAAAATCCCAGCAGGAAGACACAGAATGTAAACACAGGAGAGTAAACAGTGAGTCAATTTGGATATTATGTGTAGGAGTCTGTACTTGTGTTAATGACCAGGAACAGAAATAATTCAAGATAAATGTGTTTACAATGCCACATGTGTTTATACCTGAGCAGCGGAACTTCTTGCTCTTGATTTGTCCGATCCGTTTGTTGGCGAGGCGCCGGGGGCTGGTGCAGCGGGCACCGCTTGTCTCAATGGGATTGTCCTGCAGGTAGTCTGCCAGCCACTTCAGATGGCAGTCACAGATAAACGGGTTTTGGGCTAAGTGACTAATACACACACACACACACACAAACACAGACACGGACACATGGAGCATACAAAAACACACAAATAAGCTGTTAGAACAAAAGTTATGAACACGTTCTGTTTCTTGAGTGTGGGTACTGTCACAGATGTCACCTGTTTGTGTTTGGATGCCTCAAGCATTTTTTGTGAAACTACCGTGTCAAAAAAAAAAAAGTTTGGCTTGGTTTACAATATTTCCCTAAAAAGCCTAAAAGCTAATGTTGGGTAATAGAGCACACAGTATTTCTCCCTCCCCTGCGCCAAGCAAGCACTGAATGCGTCCACTGAATGCAGAGCAACCAAACTGATTTTATAAAAACAGATTGTTCCAGTCCACTTGATTATGACTGGCTGACCTGCGTTTGAAACCACTGTGAATTACTCTATAAACACACAGCTGTGACCGCATCACATTTCAGTATTTCTGCGCCAATTAGTCACCTACTATCATACGGGACGCAGAGCTGAAGAGGGCAACTGGTAACTGAAACCTGCATCATTTATCGTCCGCCAGGACATAAGAAATGATGTACGCAACTCATCTGTCATTCAATTAATGCACAAAAAAAAAGATGCAAACAGCACCTACAGGGACTAATGTTTGAGCAGCCTGGGGACCCACTGTGTTCTGTCACTTTGTTGGAGAATTACCAGTCATTGCTGCTGCACAAACTCCCGGCCTTTAATCTCTAACCAGAGCGCGTAGCTACACAAATGATCTATGAAAGGTTGACAATGTACTTTAGCTAGCTTGAATGTTTTTATTCATAGCCTAATGCAGCCTAATGTTAACTTGGTTACTCAGCAAGTAAAAAAAAAATATATATATATATTTTATATATATAAAGCTAGCAAGTGACAATAGCTAGGGGAAAGTGAGCACAACAATTACTGATTGTAGATATATATGTGGTTATAATGTAGCCACATAAGTCTTGTTTTTCTTTCTCCTGACATTAGGTTTACTGGAGCCCATGGGGGTTAACTTCTCTGGCTCCATGTAAAGCAGCCGGCACTTTCCTCTGCATCTGTGTGTTGCTTGGCAGTCATTTTGTTAAATGTCACCAAAGAACTACATTGCTTGGTGGAAGAATGATTATTTGTTGTCAATATCTTATTGCATTTTTGTTGCTGTGTGTTTATTTTATGAAACATTGCCAGGTATGTACTGTTTATTTACTGTTGTTTTGGAACGGCTAAGGGGAAGGCCAGTGCAAATTGCTTGACTAAACACAGCAAACAAACCAAACCACAAAGTAACAATGTTGTAGGGATTACAAACTGTAAAGTAATGGCAGAATTTCAAAGATAAAGTAAAGGCCAGGTAAAGTTCACAAAGATGCAAACTTATTTCTGTTACATGAAGACAGGGTCCTTAAAGGGCACAATGTCATTCATTAAAGGTAAAGTCCACCCTTGAATACTTAGACACTGCTAGATATCAGCCTGTCATGTGCTTTGCATGATAGAAGGCAGTTTCTGTGTTATTTTCTACCCAGGGGAGCACACTAACAAAACAATTTGCACTCAGATGAAAGTCTGTTTAGGAAAGTGGTGAAATTGGTACACAGTATTTACCTCCTCTATGACAGATAGTGTGTAATTGGAAACATTAGTGCAAAATGGTATGTTTAAAGAGAAGTGGTTATTATATATATTAAAGCTGACGACAAAACCTGCTGTTTACTGCTGATTTTAAGATAAATGAAAACTGTTTTTTAACAAGTGGCAACAACAAATGTTCCCAGAAATCCAAGATGCATAAACAATATAAACAATATTGTTGTTTTTCTTCAGACTGAAGTTGTTTCTGCTGTGTTTCTCTTAAAACATAATTGATTTTTGTTTACGTCTGCAGTTGTTCAGTTATGATGATTGCCAACCACTGCTTATAATTTCACACCTTTGTATTGTTTGTCTGTGTGTGTGTGTGTGTGTGTGTGTACACGTACAGTGTTTGTATGGCTCGTAGCGACGAGAAGGTCCCCTTGGCAATGGTCTGGAGCTTGTTGTCATATAGTGAGAGCAGATTGAGGTTGTGGAGGTCCTGAAATGCGTCCACACGTAGACATGCTATCTTATTAGCATTCAGTAACCTGAAAGAAAGAAGCGACAGAACAAAGGAGAGACAGAGAGGATGACGGTTTATCCTGTTATCATTCTTCGATGAGTATTGCCAGTGTTACAGGTCATGGCTTTCAATCATGATGTCTCCACTCTGATGACAATGTTTTAGGTAAGCACTTTTCAGTGGAATATCAATGAGATGCGGATGTGAGCTCTTAGCTGCAACTCCAACTTTGTGTGTGTGTGTGTGTGTTTGTGTGTGTCTACTTACAATAGCTGCAGAGAAAACAGTCCCTCAAACAGTGCTTTGGAAATCTCAGTGATCTTGTTTCCATATAGTACCCTGTGGAGCACAAACACTGCATTAATAAGTTAGGAATGAGACCACACATATTATCCAGTGCTACTATTAATATTAACACTCAGCACACACTGTAAAAGGAGCAAGAGCTCTTCCCACTGCCCTCTGTTCCACTAGCACCTGTTTCTAATGGGAGCATTTGAGTACCTTTCATCAAACATGAAAGTAATATTTTGTTAGTGTGTAAAAGAAAATGCAGCTCCAATTCATCTTTGACAGTGTGCCAGAGAATGCTGCGTTCATGTCAAAATGTAACAGACCTTAACTGCAAGCAGCCTGTGTGAAAAAAACTGTTGTAATTTTGAGCCACAGGTATGGGGAAACCAGCACCTAAAATATCTCCTACAATATCTCAGTAACACTAATAAAAATTATTATTGTGGTTTCACCAAACATGTTAATGCTCTAGATATGTAACATAATAAAAATGAGAAATGTAGGCTATTTATCTAGGGTGACCACAAGCTTAATTATGGGTGTAACCATCTTGAAATAAGGCAGTTCTCCCAACATGAATGCAGCATTAAACTAAAGGAGTGGAACTTTGTTTTTTTGTTTTTTTACTAAAGAGAATGCAGAAAAATCATTAAAAAAAACACAAGGACCTGAAACAACAAGAACTTAATAAAAAATAATATGTTTCTTTTTTTGGCTTTTACGTCAAAATAAAATCAGCTAGAAGGGCACTTGGAGAGCGCAGACCTCTACTAAGGCCAAATGGTGACAGTGCTCATACAATGGTAACTGCTGATAATCCTCACCCATGGAGGTGGGACAGTGTTGTTGCGGAAACGCCGTGATATATAAATTGTCGCACAAGCAGTCGCCTGGCTGTTCGCACCAGAAGCCAATTGCACTTTGTGAATCTGATCCTTTGCTCTTTTCTAATCACATGTAGAGCCCTGAACTTTGCCTCTGTCTGCTGGTTTGTGTGGGCTGGTCTCTCTTGCTCTCTGTTAGGACACAGCTGATAAATATAAAAAGTAAGTAGTAGAGTAAGATCATTTTCATCATGTATATCCTTCATATTGTTCATAATAGATTATCAGTGTGTTTTCTTGGCAGATTTGCCCGTGCCTTGTGAAAAAAATAGACCAGATGCCGAAACTTTGCTGCAGCTTGCAAGCCAGCCACAGGGCTCGGCGCCATGGCACATAGAGTGTGAACAGCCCAATTGATAAACATGGAACTGAAAGGAAGCGGGCAATGCTCCACGGAAAATTTTCAGACTTCATAGTGCTTTTGCGTCCAGTGTGATCATGGCGTAACACCCACTCTCTGGCTCCCCGACTGGTCGCCAAGGTGAGCTCTGTCAGCACTGTTGCTGATGTTAGCACTGTGCTTCTAGTTGCCGCTATTTTGGCTCAGCTACTTCAAAGTTTGCTTGCGACACAGCCGTGTGCATGTATTGAAAATTTAACAGAAAGGAACTAGAATTATAGTCTCCCAGTTGTATGCCTATGCAAACCAGTAAAGTTGCAGTTACAGACATGAGTGCCTCACACACATGTTCTTCTGATTTATACAGTCAGCACAGTTTAAAGATGAGTGTCACAAATTCAGTATCTGACCAAATGTGTCCCCTTTTGTTCCTGAGTTATGATGTGACATAATATGTCACATCATAACTCATCATAACTATTTTTAGTTTATTATTAGTTATGATGCTGCAGTGAAGTTGACCTTTGACCTTCTGGATACATAATATCATCATCATTTTATCCTATTAGACATTCGTGTAAAATTTTGTCATAATTTTCTTATGAAATCTTAAGTTATGGCCAAAAACATGTTTTGTGAGCTCACAGTGACCTTCAACCACCAAATTCTAATCAGATCATTCTTGGGTGTAAGTAGACATTTGTGCCAAATTTAAGGAAAGTCCCTTAAGGTGTGAGATAGTGGGTTCACGAGAATGGGACGGATGCAAGGTCAAAGTGACCTTCACCTTTGACCATCAAAATTGAATCAGTTCATCACCGATTCCAATTGGATATTTGTGCCAAATTTATAGAAATTTTTTTGAGGCATTCTTGATATAGTGGGTTGACGAGAATGGGACGAATGGACAACCCAAAAATGTAATGCCTCCAGCCACGACTCTTGCCGACATGGAGACATAAAAATAATCCACCCTGTGATTCAGATCAGCTTCAGAATTTAATGGCTTCTTCCTTGGCCCATGCTACACCCTTCCACCAAGTTTTACATACAACGGGCAGAGTTGTTTTTCTGTAATCCTAACTAACAAAAAGACAAACGCACAAACAGCATAGAAAACATTGACCTCCCTGGCGGAAATAATAAAATGCTGCCCGTATAAACACTCTGCCTCTTTGTGCAACAACACCTGGCTGTATGTAAACATTACAGACATAAAGCATAACTCCTTCTGAACACTTTTCATCTAAATGTCACAATAAAAATACTCCTCCATAAATCTGGCTCCAATGCAAGTAATGCACGCTGTTATCAGAGAAAAGCTTTTTATAAATGCATCAGATTACAAACAGGTCAAGGCTGAGACTGCCACTGCCTTGCCCAACAAATACCTTAGACGCACACACACATACTCAGAGAGCTATCAGTCATCTTTATGCTCCACGCTGAGTTGAACTGTGTATGTAGGCAGTCTAAAGACATGTGTTTTAGATTGGCTTTTATTTCATTGTGCTGAGTGGCTGTCCCTGAGAGACCTGAGGTTGGGAAACACACGGTGCAGAGAGTGGATGCTTCATTTATGTCTCACACACGCATTAGCACGTACTGTTTCGAGTGCCCACGCGCACACACATGTACAGACATACAGACACATGCACAGAGAGAATCGATGGCTCATTTACATCCTCTCTCACCAAACCCTGACACACAATGAACACACAGTGCAGTTTAATGTGAAAGCCATACTGTATGTGGTGTGTCAGCATGAATGTGTGTGTCCCATTCTCTCTGTGGTGAATGTGTAATGAGGTGGCAGAAGCCTCCATTCAGCAATTCAGCATTTATGAATTATTGACTTTGGAGAGACGAGACCTTAATATAACTCCTTCATGAAATAACTCTACATCCCTCACTCCCTCTCCTGCTCCTCTCTCCATCTCCTTTCCAAAAGCTTCACACGCAAAGCAGATGGTCCGACCTGAGATTCAGGCCGCTGTGGAGGCCAACAGCACAACCGTTCTACTCAAAGGTGCATCTTAAATGTCTTTGTTATACTGCAAATGTAAGCCACAGTTAAAGGATAATTCTATTTCTCTTAATTTTGTAAATTTGGCCATTATTTCCAGCCATGATAATAAGATAAGAAGTTCAACAGGGCAGGAAACGAGTTTTATACAAACACCAAACTTATGGAACAGAATGGAAGGCAAAATTATTACCTCCACCAAGAAGGTTATGTTTTTGGTTTGGTTTGTTTGTTTATCAGCAGGATTACGAAAAAACTAGAGGCCTGATTTTCATTAAACTTGGTGGAAGGATGTAGCATGGGCCAAGGAATCCGAACCATGGGGTGGATACATAAATTATTACATTTTATTGCTGGACAGAGCATTTGGCCTTGGTGGAGGTCTGCGTTCTCTGATTGCACCTCTTGTTACTATTAAAACTGACCCTTTGCTAGGGGTTGCTTGGTTACTGCGCCTACAACAGTAACTTTAAGTTACTGTAATATTATTTATATGTAGAAAAGTTTTGAGAACGAAAACAAACCATTAAGGCTGGCAAAGTCATTTGGGTTAATTTTTCTGAACCCAACAAATAGCAGTACTGAACCGCTAATGCCAATGCTAGCCGAAACTCTGACATAATGGTTACGGCATTCACTATTGGAGTGATAGAGTACCGGCTCCCAAGCCTGATTCATGAATCAGGCTTTTTCTACCATAACCTACTTGTAACTGCACATGATAATGTATTTACCTCACAATACGCTGACTCTTGGTCTCGGAAGCCAGGCATGTTAATGCTTGTAGTTTATGTTGGAACAGGCAGACACATTATTTAATCTCACCATCTTGAAGTCGTGGTTTTGTAAAAGGCGATATAAATGGCACCACCAGGAGTATAGGGTCCTATGAAACAGTTGCTAAGCAATAGTTGGACAATTGTGGTTTGGTGGATGGTTTGAACAAACAGTCTTTACCAGAATGCCCCACTAAAAACCATGGCAACATGCAGACTGACTGCCTAATTCAACTTGCACCCAGCATGCATAGTGTTTATGTGCAATATGGAATCATTTCCAATATGTTCACTTTAGTTTCCTCCTCCAGATAAAGTGGTTTAGATAATTGGGATTAACTGTTGGCTTGTGTGAAACCTGTCTAATCATATGACTGCTATTATGTCTCGGCCTTACTGGTTGCTTTCTTGTAGTGATGTTATTATGTTCCCAAATCTTAGAAATTAACTTGGTAAACTGGGGAGAGCAGGATCTGTTGGGACATTCTGAAATTGACACAAAATAACCTTCCATTACTCACAGACAACTTGAACAGTAATGAAATTGATTTGATCTCTTAACAGATACAGGTGTCTGCTAACAGTCTATCAAGTTTAGAGACCAATCCAAATGCGAAAAGCACAATTTCATGAACTGTACCAGGAGGGCATTTTCCCAAAAGTCTGCCTCTTTGGGATGGTCAGGACAGCGGGTAGGGTCAGTTAGGACACCTTGTTCTAGACAACAAAGTATATCATTGCCACTGAAAAAATGCTGTCTAAATTTGAACTATTTATATTTACAATGTCACTTGTTTTCTTGGAGAAAAAAAATCTTACATATATAATTTACTAAGCTGTGTCATTTGGCTGTCCTCTGAGTCTTAATTTCAGCTGCACCTATGTAGTTACCATAGGGTACATGTAGCCTAGAGTTTTATCTAATGTGGGTTTGTTGTTTGCTAAAATTGTTATTGTTATAGTTACAGTTCCTGGTGTAAACAGACCTTAGATATTCCTCCTGAGATACAAAGTGCCATATTGGGGTGCTTTGTGTAAACTGCATCTTAAATACAAACATCACACAGTACTCACAGAGAGTTGAGGGAGCGCAGACCTTGGAAGGCGTCCGAGGCTAGCTCTGATATCTGGTTGTTACTCAAGTCTCTGTGAAGAACAGATCCAAAGAAAAAAAGAAACAAGAGACAGAGAGGCATAGAGCCAGAGCCAGAGAGTCAGCGAGGGAGAGAAAGACATGTAAAGTTTAACACGGAGGTCAACAAAAACAGGATGAAAACAAAAGTTTTTGTGGATAGTTGACAGGGTGCACAATACATGGATCTCCTCATCTACTCACATCCTGCGCAACTTCTTATAAGGAGAAAAGGCTCCAGCTGGAATCACCTTGATGGCGTTCTGCTCCAGTCGTCTGGAACCAAACATACACACAGACCATTGAGGAGCGACATTAACATTTCCATATCACAGAGCTATCTCTGCTGTATCGTTGACTGCTGCTCATTCCCGGGGGCTCTGGCTAAGGGGAACATTCCCAGATAAGGCGCTTTGATGACCGTTGCCAAAGTCTGTCAACTTTCTCTGATCTTTCGCCCTCTTTAACATGTGCACAGTCAGACGCACACACAAACACACACCCTTAACTATCTGGGCAGTGGTCCATTAAGTGCCAGTCTGACCCTGTGTCAGTCAGGCCCAAACAAACTGAGCCAGGCCAGGAGAGAGAAAGAGAGTGGGAGGGGGCAAACAAAAGAGAAAACAGACCCAAACAAGCATTCTCTAAACATTTCACATGTGCAGTCACCGTGACAAGAAAGGCGGTGGAACATGATTTGCAAACCAACCATTCGATTGTGAAACATTTCCCTAAAATGAGTTTGTTTTTCATTTGCTGTTCTCTTCTGTTCAGCTTTATTCCAGTCCTTTCTTCATTACTAACATGTTTGAATGATCACACAGGAAAATTGTAGCAATGTAATGTATTCTGCTTTTATATAATCTGGGGCAAGTCCACGTCAAGCCTCAAGTCAATCGACTCTGGTCCAAGTCAAATCTAAAATAAAAAGATATGAGTTTAATTAAGTATTAAGTAGTATAAAGTCTTGTCAAAGCAGGTCTCAAGTTGTGTCTTAAGTCAATTGCAGTAGGTCCAATGCAAGTCTCAAGTCTTGTCATGAAGTCTGAAGTCAAGTCCAAAAGCAATCAAGACAAGTGCAAGTCGAGTCAACTTAGACAGGTTAAATGAAAATCAGTCAGGACAAGTCGATTCTCAAGTTAATTGAGACAAGCCAAATCTTAAGTCTGGTCAAAGCACGTCTTAAGTCAAGTCTCCAGTACATCAAAGTCTTAAAGTAATCGCATCAAGTCTTTAAGTATTATCATAGTACGTCTCCAGTTAAGTCTCAAGACTAGATAATAGATATCAGTGCAGCTCAAGCATGAAGCCTTAAAAAGCAAGTGTGAAGTGTGAATCAATTGAGGTCCAAGTCAAGTTAGGTCTGAAGTTACAAAGTTGAAATCAATTCCCAAGTCAATCCAGAAAAGTTCATCTCGAGCAAAAGTCAGTCAAGACAGGTCAAGTCTCAAGTTTGGTCAAAGTATGTCTTAAGCCAACTCTCAAATCAGTCGAGATAAGTCTAAGTCAGGTGTTAAGTCTTTTCATGGCAGGTCTGAAGTCAAATCTAAAAGCATCTGAAACAAGTCCAAGTCAGTGCTCAAGTCAGTCAAGACAGGTCAAATCTCACATCTGGTCAAAGCATCTCTCAAGTCAAGTCTTAAATCAAAGAAGACAAATCAGAGTCAAGTATAAAGTATTATCATAGCAGGTCTCAAGTCAAGTCTCAATTCAGCTGTGTGAAGTAGCAGTCAAGTCTCAGGTCTTGTCATGGCAGGCCTGAGGTCAAGTTTAAAAGCAACTGAGATGAGTCTAATTCAACTTAAAATCAATCAACACAAGTCTAAGTCAGATCTCAAGTCTGGACAAAGCATGTTTCAAATCAAGTCACAAAACACTCAAAACAAGTCCAAGTCAAGTCAAAGACTTGTCCACTAGTCGCAGGGTTGGTGATTTAAACCTCAGCTCCTTCTGTCCACATTTTGAGTGTCCTTGAGGAGAACCCTCTGGTCTCGATCGTCAGTCCAGCACTTTGCATAGCTGCTCAGTCCATTTACAGTTTCAGTTCATCAAAGCAGGTTTATAGTCAGAGAGAGGTCTTAAGTCAAGTCTCAAACCAAATGAGACAAGTCCAAATAAAGTCTTCATGTCTCTGTCAAGTCTTCAGTCAAGACAAGTGCAAGCTATGTCATCATAAGCAAGATCTCTGAATGCCTAATACTACTAGAATAACACAGCATTTTAAAATTTTCCATTCAAAGCTTTGTTACATGGTTGGGCTACATAGCTGAATAGCTGATTAATTCCTTTAATGGTAAGAGCTAGTAATTAAATATAAAAGGCCTGTCTAATGCTGATTTTTAATTTTCTCCAGGATTTTACAAGAACTTAAGTCTCGAGCGGTCAAGTGTCAAGTTTGACCTCTCGACCAGCAGGTTCAGTTAAGACCAATTGGTCTTAACTGAACCTGGTCCTAACTGCTAAGTCAGCCTTTGTTAAGACCAGTCTTTAGAACGAACTTCACGTCAGTTGAACCAACCCAACTTAAGCCTAGTCTTAACTACGCCCTGTCTTAGCAATGCGTGTTCATGTGAATGCCCAGCAACTTTGGCTATTGCCTACCAGTATATGTGTTGCTAGGATACACTGTTAAATTCTCCCACTGTTTTGTTATTGTGTTACTTATCATTTATCATTTGCTACAACGTTATTAATGAACATCAGAGAAATTACAAGGAAATTTCACAGACATCAAGATACAAAGATTTATAGAACTGTACAGGAGAACCATGTCTGTGTTTGCTTGACAGCAGCTGGTAGCTAGATGATGCTCTAAGAGAATGGAGAAAAAAGGTAAACAAACTTGGCTGCAGTTCACAACTCATGGACCAACAGTGTATTAAAGATTGAGGACTAGACCAGTGTCTGAACGGACCGACAGTGACATTTGCCAGTAAGTTTATATTGTGCTGCTTAATGTACTGCTGCTGACCAGCTAATAAGCTTGCTATCTTGCTTGATAACGGAAATTAGCGGTGCACATTTTACTGGTAAATGTTTGTTTGGTCATTCATTCAACAGGCTGAGGTGAGGACAAGACGTGTTTATGTTTGTGTGTTGACTAGATAAATGGAGACTGTAGCAGGAAAGCTGATGTGGGTTGCTGTTCAACTATTGTGGCTTTTGTGTTGTGTATCCGGCTGATGACATACAGAAACAGTTGAGATTTTGACTTTACACCTGCTCCTGACAAGGCATAAAATTTACGCCTGGTCTTAGAGAGAGGGAGGCTTAAGCCTAGATGGTGCAACCAGCATAATTCTGAGGTCGAACTTAGAAGGGCATGTTGTGACCGACTTAGCTTAAGACCTGGTGTAAGCCCTGTTGGTGCAACCTGCCCCTAATGTTTTTGCCCATGTAAGTGAAATCTCAAAACAGTCTCATCCAAGTCACATCTAGAGTCCTCATTTTTGTGACTCTGAGTCTCTAAAGCTCTGCTTGGTACTTCGTCACTTTAAATCTGCTGGTTATATTTTCTTGATGTCCCCTCTAGATAGAGATATGATTAGTCGTGTCCTTCACATTAATCTTGCGGTTCTTCCTCCCTCATCCCTTCATTATTTTCTTAAGCAGGGAAGAGCTGCATGACCAGGCTTTCTCATTTCACAGATGTGTGGTTTTATTCCACTGCACAGAGAGAAAGAGAAGTAGTGAAACAGAAAGGTGGAAAGAGGCAAAGAAGGAAAATGGAGGGAAGCACGGTGAAAGAGCAAGAGAAATATCACTGCACTGAGGGTGCTTTTGTGCATGTGTGTGCATGTAGAGTAATGCAGGTGTGTGTGTGTGTGTGTGTGTGTGTGTGTGTGCCTTACATCTCAGTGATGGTTTCAGGTAGGTTGGTGGGTATTTCTGTCAGTCCCTTCCCTCTGCAGTCCACGATGTTGTTACTGCAGGTGCAGGACTCTGGGCACTGTAACACACTGCAGGAGGAAGATGATGACGACTGGTGACCTACACAGAGACAGAGGGCCAATATTATCCAAGGATCATAGTTGTGCTTGGTGTTAATCCCAAAGGCGAAGAATGTTGGAGCTGACAGAATTCAGTGAAGAAAAGTGTGAACCAGCAGCCAGGCAACAAAGTGTGCAGGTGAGTTAGAGAGGCACTGTCCCTAAATGTGATAGTGATCTTGACTATTCATCTTGTGCTCTTTTTATATCATATGCTGTACAGAAAATCTGATCAGTGCATATTTTAGTGCAGTGCGTGAGGGTTAAAGCCAAGCCATGCGATGGAAGATGAGTACTTGCCTTCGTCCCCATCTTGAAAAGCATGAGCAAACAAGACAAAGCAAAAGCTGGGTTTGCTACTGTAAAACACCAAGCGAATATAAGTCACGAAATAGACAATGATGCAAATAGTCAAATAAACCTACCTGTGCAGGCAAACTCCTTCTTCTGCACCTCAGCCACGTTGTGCCCCCTCAAGTGCGGCGGGGCCATGCATTGCGTGTAAAGACCCAGACGGGGGCGCTGTCGCAGCCACTCTGACAGCCAGGCCACGTGGCAGTCACACTGCAGGTTGTTGGAGTGCAGGCGACTAGGGGAGAGAGGTGGTGGGAGGGAGGAGAGGAAGGGATGGAGAGTAAGTGGCGAAACAGGTGGAGGGGAGGGAGAGGAGAAATAATAGATTTGAGGATGTGGGAGACAGGAGCAGGAAGGGTGGAGATAGGGAGGAAGAGGTGCAAGTACAGATCGATCAATCAATTGTACAAACGGGCACGAATGAGAGGAATCCTTCCCATTGGGATGGTAATGTGTACCAAATACTCAGCGGAGCCACTTACAAGGTCCTGAGCTTTGGCATGTGGTTGAAACTGGCCACAGACAGTCGGCTGATGTTGTTGTTGTTGAGGGTGCTAAGGGGGGGAAAAGGAGCACAAAACACGACGCCATTAGATTCATCAGACTCTTATGCAGTCACAGGGTTGTTGTACACTAACACAGGGAACTGGCTTAATCAGCACAGTTGGGCGCAGAAGTCGTTGAGTGCCACATAATTAGTGTAATTCTAAACACTGGTTAGAGGTGAATCCTGACTCTCAAATAAGTTGCACCTTGTTAACCACAAAATTTGTAGTATTAACATTTTCTCCTACTGAGTCTGCTTGCTAATTAGCGCTCTTATCACCTGGCTCATTTGATTAAACCTGTGTCTCATTTTTTTAAGACACAGTATTAGAAAATATAATGTTAACTTTAATTATATTAATATTAATTTTATACTTATTAGTCGACAGATTGGCAGTAAAAATGTCGCCTATCCCTCTTTTTACACACTGCACACATGCAACTCGGGCAGATAATGCAAGGTGTGGTGCCGCTGGAGCAATTTTGGGGGGTCTGCTAAAGGGCACCTTGGCAGCTACCAGGCCACAGTCCATATTTAGTCCGTATTGGGGACTTGAACCAGTGACCATCTGCCTCCCAAGCCAAGTCCCGAGGGACTGCACCCTACTGCAGCTACAGTCTAATTAATCCAAACTCATTCGATTTAGGATTGATTCAACTGCAGGATGCACAAGAAATATTTGACACCTTGGCAGCGATTATACTGGAAACAGGCACAGCAGTGTCTTTCTAGAAAGCTAACAAAATGAGCATTTCAGCAAAAACACTTGACTGTAATTTATGATGTAAAAGTTGGACACAAAAAAATGTACATTCACTGACATCACTTGAGATAAATCACAAATTTAAAGAAGCATTTCACTGCTGTAAATGGTCTATTTATAAAACTGGGCTGTCAATGCAGTCAGAAGATGCAAATACTTGATAAGAGGATAATAGGTAGAAAACTTATAACTACAATAATGCACTTCACTGCACTGGACCAATAAACACTGTCTGTATTAAAGTTAAACAGGAAACTTTATTATTATTACGTTATTATTATTAAATATGTTTCTGAAAACATTTCAGGCAAGAAACAGGTAATGCAGTGACAGAACCTTGGTTAATATCTACTCAGCACTGTGGGGTTTTACAGTTTCAGCCTTCATTTAAAAAACACAATAAACAGTATAGCAGCCACTTCCTGTTCACAAATTCTCATATTACAGCCAAACTGGGCACTCGGATATTTTTCTGAAGACATTTTTGGTGAGAAATAGGCACTACAGTAACAGAACTGGTTTATATTTGATCAGTATTGCCTAGTTTTACAGTTTGATCTGAGTTTGAGAAAGATGGGGCGTCAGGTGTCTCATGATCCGCTTCTATGGTCTTTGTGTCTGTGGTGGCAAGCATATGAAAATGCAAAAGTACAATCTGTATTTCAGGCAACAGCCCAAGAGTCAGCGAAATGCATCATCTGGCAGATTTTGAGCTGAGAGAGGAGCAGGGAAATCTGGGTGCTGGTTAGATGGAGGGAAGTTTACCACAGTTCATTAACACATACTTCCCACATTGTTATGATACAAAGCTGGTTGAAAATTGACAAAGTATCGGTTTGGGTGTCAGTGAACTTGACTACGCTCAAACCTCTGTTCAGCTTTTACACCACTCCCAGTTCATTAGTTCATATTCACACGAATTATCCATAATTTTGACTTTAAAATCAAAGCAACTTGCCTTTTCCTCGTAAAACGATGAAAATTAATATCCGTCATTAAGAAAATCAACAAGCTACTCAGTCAGGCTGACAAGGGGTCTGTGCAGTGGCACTAATTATGTGGTGATCAATTAACTCATTATGAGATGATAGTGACAGTCCGTGATCAGGCATCAAGTGTCATTCCTGAATATACATGAAGCCGTCCATTTTCCGGAGCTGCACAAGCAATGCAGTGTTTCAAAGGTCAACGAGGATATGAGCTGTTCCGTGTCCCGCTGCTGTTAGTGTTCATCATTCATCAGAGCTCTGCTGTTGTTAACGGGCTGACTGAATAAGCAGGTACTCACAGCACTTCCAGGTCACGTAACGCTCGGAAAGCTCCATCTTCGATACAGCTGATGTGGTTGTAGTCCAACTGGCTGCACACACACACACACACACAGTAGAGAGAAAAAAAAAGGAAGCTGTTGTGGGATGTAAAGGTGTCTTACAGTATATTTTGAGGTGAAATTCGAGCCAGACAGCCAACTCATCTACAACCTCTCTCTGTCTCCCTCGCACTTACTCACTTTCTCTTTTGCTTCACTTCTGTCTCCCAAGCTCATTGTTCTCTGTAGATGTATTTCACAACGAATTCATCTCTGTATCCATTCCCCTTTCCTGCTCTCTTCTATCTGACGTCTAATTTGTATGCACTGCTCTTTACCTCCTTCCCCCTTCTCTCTCTGTCTCTCTCTCTCTTTTTTCTCAGAATTGCTTTGCTGAAACAATTTAATTAAGACATAAGGACAGTAAATCATGTGCTGTCACCCGCATGCTAATGCACACACACACACATTCACATGGACACACACAGTGTGCCCTGTCCTTTTATAATAATTGCAAGGCATTTCAAAAAAATTATGTGATGTGGAAAAAAAACTGGGATGCAGCCAAATAGTCCAAAAAAATCCATATTTCTAGAATTACTGCTGGGCAATTACTTTATCTGCAAAATGACCAACAATTATCTTCAATCATCATAACTATGACTGAGACAAAACAAAGAGAGGAAACAACAGAAATGCCAGTGACGTGACCATGCACACGCACACACACACACACACACACACACACACACACACACACACACACACACAGAGCTGCTAACGAGCAGCGGTGCCAGTCAATACAGCAAGCAGGAGGCACATGACATTTAACACAATGAAATATTGATGCACAGGCACATGGGGGTTGTGCACATTTACAACACCCTGGAAAGCAAGTGACAGATGTGCACACATATGCACACACACAAATGCACACACACATACACTCGCTCACATGCACAGAAAGTATAGCTAAAGTGCCACTTACAGGTTCTTGATCTCCACAGCTCCCCTGAAGGCTTTCCTTGGAACCCCCTGAATCTGGTTCTCGCTGAGATCACTGGACAGAGAGAGAAAGATGGAGAGAAGAAGGGAGAGGGAAGAAATAAGGTGGCAGAGTTAAGTCAAGCTGTCACAGAGCCACTTGCTTTGCAGCATAAGTACTTGATGTAATCACCAAAATGCAGCGGGGGGAAACTTCAGAGCCAGTCAGATCATCTGCGAGATTGAGTTCCTTGCACACAGAGCACTCCTTCGCCAAATATAATCAGCTGTCTCTATTCATCTCTCAGTGACACAAAAAATGCTCCCTCCGATAAGTGTCCACGTATCCGGAGCCAATTCAATTGTCTGCTTTGAACATCCATCCAACTCAGGTATACCAGGCTATAAATGCTTTAACAACCTGTAGGGGGCACTAGTGACCTCCGCTTCCAACAGAGCTTCCTGTTCCTCCTCTCATCTCTCCCACTCATCTCTCCATCGCCCCCGCCACCACCCCCCCTTCTGCTTTTAAGGAGTGAGTGATGGATGTGTGTGTGCGCGCTGGGGTTTACAGAGATTTAATTTTCAGCCACTTTAACTAAGCCGCAGCTTGGAAAACAGCAAAAAAAAAAAAAAAAAAAAAAAAGAAAAACACTAAATTTACTGCAGTCGGTGACACACATACACACAGACATGTGTGCTAATACATGTTCCCCTGCTTCACTCACACGAGTACATAAATACACTCAAACACATGAACAGGTGTCTCACATAAACTAAATCTACCGCCTGCAGCCAGTGAAACGCATGCTATCGCTGGTTGGTATAGCAACTTGATTTAGTGAAGGACACACATGCATAGGTGCTGAAGGATGTACACACAAATAGTTACATGAAATGAGGTGTAAAGCACGCTCGCATACTCACGCGCAAATATAAATAAAGTAATGCAAAGACAAGGGAGTGAATTCAGCTGTCTGGAGGATCCAGACATATTACTGGATGTGAAATGCAGATACTACAAAATCAAGCATCTCATCATCTCAACATCAGAAAAACATTTCTGGAAACAGGACACTTGGACAACTTAATGGGTTCTCAGACTGATGGACAATATGAGTGTGTGTGTGTGTGTGTCATCCGTCACCAACACAGACCAAAGTTCCAGACGGACTATTTGACCTTTCACCACTGACCCTCCAGCTCTTGACCCCAGCTGTGGCACTGTGACCTCCACCATGCTAATCGGCTAACAGCTAATGCCCAGCCACATTCCTCACATTCCTGTCTGTGTGTGATCGTACGATCAGTACTGCAGGTATCATCCACCTCCTGTGTTTCCACCTGCTGCTTCTGCACCTGCAGCTGAAGTGATCATTTGTTGCTAAATTTAAAACAACACAAGAGAGAGGGCGTTTGAAAGATGGAGAAACATGAGTGGTTGTATTTTTGTTATTAAGGATGATCTTTTGTCGACTTTATTAATGTCCAATTGAAATGACAAAACTAGTCCCTTTATTGCAAATAAAGGTGAAAGTGAACGCCTCTTCAGCCTCCAAGCCTGTGGGAGGATGGCCTGTTTCTGTTTCTTCTACAAACATATTGAAGTCATACAGACATCACCCTGCATTGTACCTACCCCTCATCCCTCCCTACCTCCGAAGCCTGGATATTGATTGACAGCTGAGGCAGCAAGGGCACAAAGACACAATGTAAACAAACTTTCTCCAGTAACTGTAGCTTATTAGCAAAGGGACAGATGTTTGCAGTGGTATTGGACCTCAACGTTCTGCATCTACACCCACTGATCATGACATCTGCAAGTAAATGTTTAAGATGCTCAAGCTGCTACCAAACAAGCTATCAATCCCGTGAACATTACATAAGCCATTGTACTTTTCCTCCATAGAAGTTAGTTTCTTATAGGAGGACGAGTTGCAAGATATTCACAAAACTTGTGGCTTTTTTGCATGTAGCAGACTGCGCTCTGGTTGTCAGTCAACGTCACTGTGTAATAACAAAGTAACTGCTGCTTTATGCAAATACATTTAAATTTAAAATGTGTTGTGTGTTTTATTTAATAATTTTAGTCACTTCTTTTAAGCTGCAGTTGGTAACTTTTACAAAAATAACTCTTTAGCATGTGCTGAAAATGTCACTACATTCAGACAGCAGTACATGACACAGTGAAAACATCATGTCCCTCCTTCTCCTCGTAGTGCTTCTGATGGCATTCACAAGAATCTGCAGCGGCTGAAGGAAAACAACCAGTCAGAGTCAGGGAGTCTAACTCGGCTGTCAATCATGTCAATCACTGCTCATGAACTGTGAAACTAGTCAGCTCTGATCAAATATGAATCAGCATTTTGTTATGTTACTGCATTGCCTATTTCTCATCTCAAATGTTTCAGAAACATATTTTAGTGCACTGTTTAGCTGTAAAATTAGATAGTTTGCTCTGGTCAGTGGGCAGTGCCTCATTTAAGCTTGACTGTTTTCAACATGGTGGCCAGGTCCTAATGTTACAGCTAAACCAATGCATTCTCATCCCGAGTTGTCAAATATCGGCAGTTGGTCAGTGGACTTTCGGATCTCCATATGACGTGCTAGGTATCCTCCTGTGTCTGTTGTTAACGTTTCATGACGCTATGTCCATTTGCGCTTGTTACATGTATTGTGTCTTCAAAATACATGTCTGTTTTCACAGAAAACAGAAATCACCTCGTATTTATGTTTATTTCTTTGTGCAACAAAAGCACATGGTTAGGTTTAGAAAAAAAATGGTTTGGCTTAACATTCACACAGGAAGTGAAAAGTGGGATCCCAGGTGAATGTTCAGAGTTTGTTGGACCCATTCACCTTCCCTCCCATCCGCCCTACAGGGACTTTCCAGCTGCTTTATATGACGTTGCTACCAGTGGCATTTCAAACTGGTGCCAGCTGTTGAGTTTCATGACGCCGCAAAAGGTGCCTTTGTGTGTCGGTATCTAACGCGGATGTCCACTGGCACAGCATCAGTATTTGATGATGGGTTGGTGGCCACTGTGTCAACAACTGCCACTCCCTGGTGCATATTATACTGCCACGAAAGGGGCCCTTGTGCATTTGTATCTAACGCTGAGATCACTGACAAAGCGGTGGTATCTGACAACTTTTGGAATGAAAACGGCTAAACAGTACACTAAAATATGTCACTGAAAACATTTGAGGAGAGAAATATGCAATGCAGTAGCAGAATCTTGATTTATATTTGATCAGCGCTGTCTAATTTGACCACAGTACACAAGCAGTGACTGACATTGACTGACAGCTGCGTTAAAGACTCCTCGCTTGTGATTGGTTGTTCTCTCTCAGCTGCGGTGGATTCTTGCAAATGCCACTAGAAGTACTACAAGGGGGATGGATATGATTTTTTTTCCCATAGACTCTCTGTCTCATGTAATACTGTGAGCATATAGTGACAGTTTTAACATATATGACCCACAGTTATTTTTACAAAAGTTACCAACGACATCTTTAAGCCAAAATGTCAATCATTTTCTGGTTCCAGCTTTTGAATGTGAGGATTTGCAGCTTTTCTGTTTTAAATTATGCTGAACTGGATATCTTTGGACTTTGGACTGTTTTGTCAGACAAAACAAACAAACTGAAGACATCAACTTTGGTTCTGGAGAAATTATGATTGGCCAAAAATTGTTGCACAGAATTCAAACAGCCAACTAATGTAAAATTAAATTTCCTCTTACATAAATAAATAAAGCACTACAAATAACATAATTTCAGTTGGACTTCACTTCTACACCTGCACACACACACACACACACACACACACACACACACACACACACACATTGTAAAGGCAAGTTCACATCATGTTTGAGTGCTCTCTGATGCCGAGATCAATCAACGTGATCCTGGAATAAGACTTTACAAACAGAGGTAGATGAAAAAGAGCCTTCACTTTTGCTGTTTTACACACACAACACAAACATGTGTGTACTTCTCTTCATGCGTGCACACACACAAACACAGACGCACATACACACAGAGCGGCTGGTCTGAATCAAATAGAGTGTATCCTGATACTGTTTTTACACGACCGGGGGGGTTTGGAAAACAGCCGTGCTCCTTTAACCGCTGGAACTCTAAAACCAAATAAACACTGCGAAAGTGCTCCTTAACCCTACACACACACACACACACACACACACACACACACACACACCTGCAGTCTGCATCCACTTCATCTGCCTATCACATGTAGAAATCGGTAAAAACTTGTTAATGTGTCATATGTGAGGAGCTGACAGCTTGACAGTCTGTATGTCTGTATTTTAGGCCGCACACAGACCTCACTGTACTCGACAGCACACAGTCACACACAGTCAGCTAATGTTGGCCGGAGTGTGTTTACACACACACTTAACATGTTCACTTGGGAGCATATACAACTCACTTTCACAATTATAGTAATGTAGCTACGGTGAACGCCACACAAAAGTGGGGTTTAACCTATACGGTACACGAGAGGTGGTGTACAGTATTTAAGTGTGTACGTGTGTGGCTGTGTATTTCTGTGTGTCTGACATATACATTTATCTGCTGATGCACTGAGATGATTGGAAATTGATTTTTCATGTCCCTCTGTCCCTGTGATCTACGACAAGAGAGACAGCACACACACACACACACACACACACACACATACACACACGTGCTCACACATAGTACATGCATACACATGTGATTGGCAGTTGGAGTTGGTGAGGGGCTCTTAAGGAAGTGCAGGAGGCCACTCTCAACCCTATTCATCACTCAGACCACCACACAGACAGAGAGAGAGGGTGAATAGTAAGTTTTCCCCCTATGAGGAAATTGACTTCTTAGGGATTTAGGAGTGGATTTTCTCCCTCAGTTTTGTGCCAAGGCACCTGATTCAATTTCATCTTTAGTTAAATGGTTTGGTAGACGTCCCACCCACCACTTTCCCCCTCTTTCTCTCTATATCCCTCTCTGGCTTTCCCTCTCTGTCAGCCTCTCTGCTTCCATCCTCTTTTCTCTCTCCGTTCCTTTTCT